ACATTGCTTTCAATGCCATTCCACTCGTCGCACTCCTTCCTTCGCACTGTTTGCCCCAGGACCTCTTCATGAGCTGGTTCGTGATTTTTATCCTCATCCGCTTGCCGTCCATCCCACTGGCTTCTTGTGGCCTCACGGTCCTGTTCGTGGACGCTTCCTTCCTGGCGCTGACAGCTCTGCGTAGACGCTTCGATCATTTCGAGGTCGTCGACAGTCTTGGCCTGAGCACTCGCGATCCCACCCTCTTGGTCCGTGTGGACATGTATGCGACCGTTTCCACCTTGGCCTTCAGCTTCATCTTCCTAGCACCTTGGTTTTGGATGCCTATGAATAGCTAGTTAATTATGCCTATGCCTCCATTCTGGTAGCTGTCCTGGCACCTGTACGGCTTCAGGGGCTATAGGGATTACTCTACAAGCATGCCAGGCATCGATGAGAATGAAAGCAGAGCTGATCGCAGGCACCAACAACCTGTCCTCGCAGCTGAGCGCTGCCTCGTCACTGCTTCGGCTGACCTGTGATGCAGTGGTCGAGCTGGACAGTGAGTTGAGGTTCACGGATCATTCGCCGGAGTTGTCTGCGATGCTTCTCCACGATCGACCGGGCACGACCCTGAAGGCAAAGTGCTTTACTGACTTCATGCAACCTGTGGATGCAGGCAGAGCCATCGAAATTTTGGGTGCCAGCAGCAACCGGTCTGCTTTCTCGACGCAGGAGATCACAGCGCACGCCTTTCACACACGTCTGGTGGACAGCTGCTCCAGCAAGCTTTGTGCCGAAGTTTTCCAGGTGAAGTATTCGAAGCTGGATGGAAAGTCCTACCATCTGCTTGGTATCCGTGACTTCACCGACATCAAATCTTTGGCCGGGCCCAATGCAGTAGACGCCTTCACCGAGGGCCAGGAAGACAGATAGCATGTCATGCATGCCAGTATCAGAACTGTGCACAGCAGCAACGATGATGATAATGATGAAGTAGTTGACGAGGCTGCAGCTGATGACGATGCTGGCGATGTCTCTCCCCCTCCGCATCATTGCCGTCGTCATCAGTTTTTGCGCGAGTAAGCGAGTGACCGAGCTGGTGTAAGTGTTGATCTGCTTGTCGTTCCTCCTGCGGAAACGCTCCCTCCCAGCTTCATCGCCCCCTCAGGCAAAGAGGTGATGCTGAATAAAGGGCCAAATCCGTGCGGTTTGAGTTGAAACTGAAGACTTTTCTCCGCTTGCCCGTGGGCTCCCCGTAAACCTCCATGCAACCCTAAGCCCCAAACCCTACATCACCCAAAAATCCCTAACTTTACACAGCCACAACACTGAACCCAGAACCCTTAACCCTACAGTCCTAAACCCTTATCACTAAACCCTAGACGCCCTCAACCGAAGTCACTCAATCCTAAACCCTAATCCTAAACCCTAAACCCTAATCCTAATCCTAAACCTAAACCCTGGTCCTAATCCTAAACAGGACTCTGTGATGTCTAGCCCGGTCCAGCTCAGCCCTCGGAGCCCCTCGGCCCAAGTAGCACGTCGGGGTTTGAGGAACTGGCTTTTTGGGGATCTTGGGTTTAGGTTGGTTGGTTTTATTGTTTAAGGTTTAGGGTTTAGGGCTTTTAGGGGGTTACTAGAAAAGTACTTCAAGGGGTTACTCTACGGGTATATAAAAAACGGTATGCATTCGTTTGAGAAGCAAGCTAGGGCCACGGGTTAGGGTTTGCAGGGTTTAGTTTGGGCTTTGCGATTTTGGGGGCTTCGGGTCTGAAACTTGTTTTTTGGAGCTTGCTTGGGTATCCGATAAGCAGGTACAGCTTCGGATGCCAATGCATAGACTTGCGCCGGGCGGGTGGGGGGGGGGGGGGGGCGGCAAGTTTTGGGTGTATGGGGGATAAGAGGCGACGAAGGCTGTCGAGGATGTTGGGACTGGGACAGCGCGAGGGGAGGATGCCTTGTCTACTCGGACATGCCTGCTTCAATGCAAATAGTGGCGTCCAAGAAAGCTGGTCAGAAGTTGTGCAAGCATATGGCCAAGTACAGTTGCTATGCAGCTGGATGCAACTTGCTACGTTACAGGGAACCCTTCATGAATAACACCAGCATCTGCATATCACTGAATCATCACCATTGCCAGCGTCGTCATCCACATCATCGAGTATTATCATCGTCGTGCTCCTCCTCATCGTCGTCGTCCCCCTGCTCAGCTTCCGCATCTTGTACGCTTCCTATCGCAGTGAGAGGATTTTTCAGGCGGAACAGCTCCATAGCGCCGTAAGGACTTCGCAGCTGACGGAATCAGGTGTTGCCTGAGATGCGTCCCGTTCTGTCCATTGCCTTGGCCAGGCTCTGCCGGTGACTCGGAGACTGACTGCCATCCGAAGGCCTACCTTGACATTGACACGGAAGGTGGGACTCCTCTACCAGCTACCAGCTAGACTCTAGACTAGACTCCACCCTGTGCCCTTAAAACTCGAGCTCTTCAGCAGCTAAGCTCCCTGCAAGGTATGGTAGTGCAATCTGCGTCTCAGCCACTGATGGCCAGAGCTGGCACGGCCTGCACTGATCTTTTTCCTTCTCCGCACATGACGCTCGAGCATCTTCAGAAATCGTTTTCGATTTGGGAAGCGCAGCAGGCGATGCCGACGAATATGTATGGCATGAGCCAAAAGCCCAGGACAATGCTGCTAAATCAGCTCCGCAAAGAGGTGCAGCCTTTGCGAAACGAGAGCAGCGTTTGCCTGGACCCTTGCTCGGCTGAGGGCTATAAAGCGCTGCGAAGCCGGTAAGCCCTCCAACTTCCAATCCTAAATCATACTAATTCCCCCCAACCTTCAATCCTAAATCCTCCTACGCTTATAAACCCGAGAGCCCTTAGCAGCCCTACTCTTGCTGGCCGTGAGCCATCAACACCCTCCGAAGAGGCCGAGCTGTTTGCAAAACGCGGGGAGGATCCTCCGATGAGAGTTCTCAGCTACCAGGTCGGGGTAAGCCGGGAGCGGTCTAATGCAGGCTTTGGGGTTTAGAGGTTCATATATTATAGGGTCACGAGGGTTCACGGACTTAAGGACCAGAGCTTAGCAACGTTTCGGGCTTTCTTCAGCCTGATCCAGTGGTGACGTTCAGGACATGCCCGTCATTTTCAACGCACCTCACGTGCATCGCATCACCGGCAACATGCAGATCACACAGACGCGATTTGGCCGCTTCAACGTGCTCCTGACTTTCAGCCGACCCAACATAAGGCCACCGAGTCGGTACCCGGTACTTGTGGCAGAGTTCCCGGTTCCTGAGATCCGAAGAGGGGCCCTGAGACCTCGTCGTGTACCCGAAGTATTCTATACTCGTATCAATACCTATCTATTTATCTATATATATATATATATATATATATAAATAAATAAATAAATATAAATATATATAAATATATATATATATATAAATATATATATATATATATATATATATATATATACACATGTATATATACATGTATATATACATGTATATATACACACTGTATATGACGGTACTACAGGAAAAATCTTACGTTGTGTCATAATTGGTCTTATGATTATTACTTCTATAGTGGAGGCTATGCCTACTTGATCTCGCGAGGCCGGAGCCAGAGGCCCGAAAGATCCCAGTCGCCACTCAGGGACACTCTGAGCCTGACAAGGCGAAGGAGGCGAAGGTAACGGTGGTTCTCTGAATGTGGCGAGGGTTGATAGGGCCGAGCTTAGGCCGGCTCCAGGGTTGAACTTTCGCGAGATTTCTGAACTAATTCGGCATTCCGCTGGCTCGCCAGCAAGCGAAATCTACCAGGACACCTCCGAAGGGGAGCTCTGCTGATACTATTCAGCAGGTACGATACATATAGGAGCACTCGCCTCCGCGTGTAACGACGGATGGACGCCTTTTTGAATCAGTTTGCACCGACCGTTTTTCCCCTACTTCTGAAGGAAGACAGGAACGGTCTGGACTGGTGCTGTGAGCCGAAAGGCACCAGCAGGGCACCATGGTGCCGACCGCCAGGGTTGGGTCTGGATTGGGTTGTGATGTTCGGAGCTTAGCAGCTACTTGACACCTCTAGACTTCTTAGTGGAGAGTACACTCTTGCTGCTTGACGAAGTGTGCCAGACACGGACTGCTTTTCGGGCGTTCCCTGTGCAGCGCACAACCGTCACAAAACTGGAGCGTGGGATGACAGTGGGATGGGAGTCCAGTCCAACAATGCGTTGCTGTTGGAGCCTTGCAACCCGCTGGTAGTGCTGGTCCTGTTGCGGCAAGGCTTTGGAGCTGCCTCAGCCAGTTGCCTCGCGCCGGGCTTCCTGGCACCGGGGTTCAGGGTCTAGGGTTTAGGGTTTCGGGTTTAGGTTTTAGGGAGTTTAGGGTGCAGGGTTCGGCTGAACCCTGGGTTACTGTGAAGGATTTGGGTCTGAAGCGCTTCAGGGTTTTTGGGTAAGGGTTCAGGGGATGGATCCACATTGTGTAGGTACGTGTGTAGGAGCGTACCTTTATGCGCATGTATGTAATGTTAGATAGATTCGGCTTGAGGCATTGCGCTTCAAGACAGGACACGGCTACTCCATTCCAACATGTACACGGCTATTGTAAAACTGGCACAGGCGTTGTTCCTCCTTGGTTTTCAGGGTTCGGAGGGTTGATCTCTCTTTCTCCTTCGCGCCTAGGTGGTCAGCCGGGCCTTTGGCAACTGAGCCAGGGCATCCAGGATCAGCTGGCCAGGCCTCGCCCTTGGCGCGCCTTGACACTGTCGGACAGCGGGTTCGCTTTAGGCTCACCCTCGCCGAGTCGCCGAGGCAGGTTCCTCACGCCGTGCGCCGGCGCTTTCCCCCCGTGCCCGGGGGCAGTGAGGGAAGCAGGACGGCGCAAGACAGAGCAAAAAACCTGACATCGCCGGAGGGCGCATCACCGTCACACCTGCAATCCTGCATTTGAGGAAAGCAAGGAATGGTCTCAAATCCCAAATCGTATGCCGACACCTCACCGCCGAGGTCTGCAGGAGGTTCGCGGACGCGTGTTGCGACGCATGACGGTGGAGCTGCCCATGGCCCAGAAGTTCGGGCCGTGGCTTTGTCAGAACCAGCGGCTTTGACCTTTGACCCCAAAGAGGACCTCGGCCTGCTGACTCAAGTGTCCCAGGGCTCTTGAAAGATAGAAGACTCCGAGGTGCTGGACCCAGCCATCGAGCTATACTGAGACCATGGATGCTACCTGCATTGCCAGGAGCTTGAGAAGCGAAGGGTGTGGGGTTTCTGGTTACGGTGAGCGCTTCTTCCTAAGCTCCGTCTTCTAGGTATATCATACCTCCAAACCCTAAAGCCTCTTTCCCCCCAAAACCCCAAACCCTAATACCCAAACCCCCAAGGCCTGTTCTAACTACTCCGGCCACGACATTGCCCTACATTCGACTTGAGCAGCCAGTCACCATCTCGCTGAGGCGATGGGTGCTGACGGCGTGGTTGAGGTTGTGAATGCCAGAGGCTGGATCCACTAACAACCTTTTTTCATATTATATACATACAACTTGTAGGGAAACTACAAATATATATATATATATATATATATATACATATGTGTATAGATACATATGCTATATATATATGCATGATATGTACTATGTTTTGTTAAAGTATTATACATGATAGAGTCTGCAGAACAGCCGGAGCCCTGCTGTCATTTTCATTAGGTTCCCTCTTATGTAGGCTTCCATCTGCGGTTTAGGGTTTAGGGGTTTAGGGTTTAGGGTCTGCGGTTTAGGGGTTTTGGTTCCTTCTCATGCAGGCTTCCATGGTGCAGCCTACGGGGTGGACCAGACCGCTTATCGCCTACAGTCCAAGGCGGATGTCGTGGACAGGTTGCGGTTCTCTGTGTGTGTGTATATGTATATGTATATGTATACGAACATGTATATGTATATGTATATGTATATGTATATGTATATGTATATGTATATGTATATGTACACACACATATATATATATATATATATATATATCTAGTATGTGTATATATATATATATACATACCATATATATATATATATGTATATATATATGGTCACCCCCCACCCCCCCGTTGACAGACCATGCCCTTTCAACTCAGTCGTAGTGCATGGTCTGTGATCGGGGGGAAGGGGCACTCAGCTTTCAAAAACTCAATTCCAAAATTTCCAAAATTCTCTCCCCTAACTTTCCGGATTTCCAAAATTTCCGAAATTTCCAAAATTTCCAAAAAGTCCGCCCTTATGTTTTGGTCGACTAGGTCGGGCCGTTTTGGAAATTTTGGAAATTTCGGAAATTTTGGAAATTTTGGAAATTTTGGAAATTTTGGAAATTTGGAAATTTCGGAAATTTTGGAAATTTTGGAACTTCTGGAATTGATTTTCAATGGGCTGACTGTGACCCATCGGATGACAGACCATGCACTACGACTCACTTGCAAAGGCAAGGTCTGTTTAGACGATTGTCAGTGTATATATATATATATATATATATTTTTTTTTTATTTTGTTTTGTAAATTGGTGCTCCTAATACTGACATTGATCATTTGCTGACTGCCCAAGCTAATACCAGCATTAACACTAATATTTACACTTTTTTAAGCCAATACGAATAGGCACCGTACAAATACTAATAATGATTAATACTGACGTTCATACTCCTACACATATCAATAATTATGCCCATATTGGTAGTAGTGCATTTTAATACCAATACTGATACACACCTGCATATACCAATGTACATAAGTATACATACCACTATATTAAAGTACAAATACATTAGCTCATGCATGTATTTATCTGTTAGTATTTTCATGTAATCAGGAGTAATACTAATACAAGACAATCGTTCATGCGAATACATAACCTCATTTTAATATTAGCACTATTACTAATACCAATATTAACACTTATACTAAGGCTAACGCGACTATGGATAATCCTAATACGAATATTAACATTAATACTCCTACGAATACCAATAGTCATATTCATATTGATGTGAAGACTAATACCATTACAAAAGACACGTGCATATGCTAATGCACACCAGAACACATACCATTATCTTAAAATGCCGATATGTATCAATGCATTCATGTACTGATGTTTTAGGACAAGCATATACCCATATACCAATGTAACAATACACTACCTGTTAATGTGTGAATATACTATACTAGTATGCTATTATACTAGTATGCTACTATACTAGTATACGACTACTGTAATATGCGAGTATACCGACATGGCAGGTTAGTGTACTGATATGACAACATACTGATATACTTAAAAATCTTTAGACAATACACGTATATTGCATATACTAGTATACTAATACACTAATGTACGAATATACTGGTATGTTAATATACTAATATATTAAGATAGCAATATACTAGTTTACTCATGCATCAGTTGTACTAAAGTATTAAATCTACGAATATGCAAGTATACAAATATGTTGCCTCTCGAACACATCAATGTATTGATATACTAGCCTGCTGATATACGAAACTATCAGAATAGTAACATATCGAAACTAACTCTAATTTCGATACCAATACTAGCACCTCTGCCATTATTAACTGATATTAAACCCAGCATGAAGACTGGTACTAATACTAGCAGTGGTACTATTACTGGCATTGACACTGGCACTAACACTAAGACTAAAACGAAGATGAGCACTAACATTACTGTATACTTACTATTGTCGGTATACATATATATATATATATACTTACAGTAAACACTAATACTATTGCTGTTACTAATACTAATACCAATATTAATACTCATACTCATCCTATATCAATGCTACCACAAAACTCATAACTCACGTGTCGCGCGTCTGGTCCACGCGTCCTCAGTACATGGCATGTTAAAAGTATACTTGGTATATGTACTGTAAAGGATTTGCTTTACAGATTGTTGTCATGTGTGGTGTGTTTAGATACAATATCTCAGCCTGGTCATCGAACGAGAGTACACTATCACAAGGGCATGGTCTGTCAACGGGGGGGGGTGAGCATATATATATATATATATATATATATAATACACAGTCATCTGCTGCAAGAAAACCGACGGTACATTACTTGGCTCAACTTGGGTTGAAGTTTCTATACTTCAGTATGCATTTCAGTTTGGCTCGCGGTGTGATTTCGCATGATTGGGTGTTGTACATGGCGATGTGTATCATCGTATAGGAATGCACATAGGTCCGCCAACTCATTTTCGCACGATTGTGGCAATGTATACGGTTTTTACTTCTATGCCGCAACGCTAAACCCTAAAACCCCAGACCGCCACCTGATCTGCTGCTCTACTCCACTAGTCAATGCTACAATTGCCATCGCTGGCTGTTGCAAAAATTCCGAAACCCCGATCCCGAGACCTTACCCGAAACCCCAAATCCCTGCGCCCGAAACCCGAAACCTGAGCCCCGAAACCCTTTGGAAACCCTAAACCCACAAAACCCCCCTGAACCCTACAGACCAACCTTGCCTGCAGGGGGTGGATTCCCTTTTCGGGGCGATCAGCCACCAGGGCACAGAGCGGCAGAAGGGAACGGACCTACAGTCAGCAGCTCAGCTGGGCAGGACCTGGTCCGAAGTTTGATAACCAAAAAGCCTGAAGTTCGAATAATAACTACTACTTGTGATACTTTCCCTGTGAGGGTTCCTTGGTAGAATTGCCCCAACAAGCTGCTGTAGTTGTTCAGGCCCCCAAAGCAGTTGTCATGTTCGCCCGCCCCCTCACTGGCTACTAGTTTTCCGGACTCCATGTTGCCGCTTAGGATGTCGGATCGTGGGTAGTAGATTCAGATGCTGGAGCTTAAATGTGGGTTTTGGGCACATGAATCGGGCTTGAATGGTTCCTTGTAGTTCCAGGTCTACCCTCGACAAGCAGATGCTCTGCAAGCAGCTGATGCAGGCTGGACAGAGAAAGACAGAGCAGGGTCAGATCTGGGAATGTTAACACGCCAGGCTGGGTGAGGAGGGTAATTCTCCAAAACTTGAAAACCTTGCCCCCTACACGCTAAGCCCTAACTAATGCCCGCCTATACCCTAAACCCCAAGCCCCAGACCCTAGACCCTAAACCGTAAAACCAAAAACCCTGAAACCGAAAAGCAGTTTCCCCCAAACGTCCCAGGTGAGGCTCGACCTGTTGCCCGAGCGCGTCACAGACCTCTTCTTCGTCTTGGCCGCCGAAAGCTCGGTCTATAATGGGTATATCATGTATTTTTATGTAAGCATGCATGTATGGTGTGATGTGATATGATACAGTAAGATATCAATTCATCACATCACATCATATACCATGTCATCCCTACACAAGCACACTATATTATCACGTATTATCGTGTAATACAACATACTCTATTGTATTATATATGATACAATCTAATATGGTATAGAATTACATATATAACTTAAGCAAAATAATGTAGAGCAGAGCTTTCCGACGACGTCGACATGAGCTGGGTTGGACTAGCCGTGAGCCTGCGGGCAGGGCATCGCCTGCAAGCTAATTACGAGAGAGCTTGCTTCTTGTGTGCAGCACCAGAGGCTCCGGGAACTTTTCAAGAAAAGCGTAACATTGGCCACCGCTGCGGCCTTCGGATGCAACCATGGACGGGCACTGTAGAAGCGAGCGCGAGCTTCCAGAATGAGCCTGTCGCCTAAGCTCAGCATGGTGCTCCGGCACAGGACAGTCTGCAAACACGAGTGACTGCTTGCTGCCTTGCTGATATTTGCTGATTCTGATGGTGAGTCTTGAGGAGATGAAAGGCTTGCAGGCAGGACAGACGTGGATCCCGAGAGCCAAGACCTTAAACTGGTGCCGACACCCGGAAGTGTGGGCCCAATTTGGGCTATGCAAGGTTCCAGCGCACATAGGCGCAGACTGACATTGTTGCAGCGATGATGGAGAACTACCACACCTGGGAGAAGTTCGCCGAGAATGTGCGTGAGTTCGTGCTCAACAAGTTGGGTGACGAGCAGTGACAATGTCACCGGAGATTGCAGGCTCCGCCGTTGATGGAAGATCATTCAAAGCTCAAGCAGAGAAAGAGCAGATCTGGGTCCCAGGTACAGCAAGCAGCCGACGTTTCCGATTGCCACTTCAAAGGACCTCAAGACATGGCGACTCGGGACTGACACCGTGACGGCTCCCTTACACGAGCTGCAGACGAGAGCTTATAAGGCTAAAAACAGAGTCCGCTGTTTGTCTTCACCTTCTCGCGACAGCTCAAAGGACTATCAGTCTTCTAAGAGTACTTCGACCAGCACAGAGGCAGCACCTGCTTCAAGAGGTGGAGGCGGCGGTGCTATCTCCTTGCTGCTGCTGCTAAGTTGTTTTCCGCCCACAGCGGCGACGCACACATCGGCGCAGCACCGGCCGGTGCTCCTACGAGCCGACAGACATGGAAAGCCTTGACGAACCAGCACACGATCGTGACAATGGACATTGAGGGCTCCGAGCTTCAGCTTCTTTCGACGGCTCGCGACTCGAAGAACCCTCGGCGGCTCTTCTTGAGAATTTTCTCAGCCGGCCGAAGCCACTTCGGCTCTTTGCATACAGACGAACTCCTCACGTCGATCCCGGCTGTGCTTCACCTGGCATGGAGCGCCTGCTTCGCGACCTTCCCGGCAGGCTTCGTGAACTCGGTACCCAGCGGCCCCCATCCTTTCCGCGGGCCGGGGATCTGAGCAGGTTTGGGGTGCGGTCGAAGCGAGGAACCGGCCATCCTCCGAGGCGCGTTTTGCCAGTTGGCACGACCACCTCCCAAATTGGTGGAGGATGTAGTGCTTCTGGTCGGGGAGTGAGGCACTGAAGCTGACCAACAGAACTAGGCTCGTCTGCGGAACGGCATCGATGGCAGTGCAGCCCTGTCTTGCGATGATCGCAAGTTCCGCAAGCATCATTTCCTCCAGGAAGATGGCACAACAGTCGTTTCGCTGCGTGTTGCAACAAGGCAGATCTTTGTGCAAGTGGATTGTGCTCACCATGTCTACTGTCACGTTTCGAGCGGTCACAAAATGAGCGGAGCAGGTTTGCTGACTGTAGATCGGCTACCCTGAGCTTGGAGGGTGCGGGTTCAGGTGGCAAAGCAAGGCACTCGCTCGCTGCCTCGTCTCTAGGCGGTCACCTGTTCTACTCATGTAACGCATCTTCACTTCTTTTGCTTTTCTTTGCTCCACTCCGCGCGCGACCGACTTATCTGCACTTGCCACAGTCACGACGTCCCATGTCATGTATTTTGGCTGCGCGTTGCTTTCATTCCACAGGCTTTCGTACTTGATGGAAGCAGGAGCAACCCAATCCGGCGGAGAGATTTCAAAGGTCAGTCAGCGTTGATCCTTCTGCGGGGAAGTGTTGCAAGTATACTAAGTTACTAAGCGTCTTCAGCACCGTCCAGGAGTGCCGTAGCCGTAAAGCCCTCGTGATAAGGGTCTCGTCCTTTCTTCCCGAGGCCACCAACTCCCGGGAATTGAGCAAATTCCAGCACCTCGGCTTCCGCGTCGTGACTTGGACAGCAACAGCACTTTTGTGGAGCCGGCAACCCCCTGGGCGCAGCTCGTTTGGCAATCCAAAGTTAGCCGTCTCCAGGTGGACAGTGACATCGGTGCGAATCTGGCCCACAAGGAGGAGCGAATCCAGTGCTGCACATTTACGGGAGCATTTTGCCGACAGCTGCGACTCCAGGACCACAGACTTCAGCTTACCTTCGAGGCGAACATCAATCAACGTTCAGGGGGCTTTCTTTAAACAGAGGTGTTATCTGTGGCAGGCGGTGGTCATCATGTGCGCGATCTACAAGCTGGGTTCGGAAACCCAGGGGGAAGGAGAGGTGTCCTCAGAGTTGAAGCTTCCTTCGATGGAGGTGACGGCTACTGGAGGATCGGATCTATGGACGTGACTTGCTTCGGCCTGAAGGTATGGTATACAAATCAGAATTTCACGACTTAATCTGCTCCTATCCTTCGATCCTTCGCAAGGTTCCGGCTCGCCACGGGATCTGAAGACGGCCTTGATGAAGCTGGAAGAGTGGCTCGGCCCAGCTCTTGCCAAAAACACCCCGAACCTGGCCTGTCAGCCACCACAGTGATGTTACAAGTACGGGATCATCAATGTTGGTGGCGAGTTGGGAAGAAGGGGCCGCGCCAGTGAGCCGGGTGCAGGTTTGCAGGCACTAATCATCCTGCCGTGTTCGGAATTCGGTAATCAGGTTTTGAATTCGGTGTTCTGATTGGAACATGCTCTGGTAGATCACTGCAAATGTTTGTATTCATTTGTACCTCGTTGCCAGGTCTTCATTGTGGTATGGATGCAGTAGCCGACTTCAACAACAACATGCAGTGTATGCTATGCTACCTTGAAATTTCATGCAAATCCCAGCCCATGCCCAAACACCCTAGAACCCACTACACCGGACCCACCCATGCGAGGCCTAGCTTGAGGTGTGCTCCGGGTAGTTCCGAGTGATTTCTTTAATTTCGGGTGCCCCAAACAAGAAACACCCACATGCACGCCTAAAGGCTGGGATTCCCTCGCAAGCACGAGCGAGCTTCGCAGGACAGCCTCGCAAGTTGGCTTTCCGAACCTCCTGTACCTAGTTCCCAGGTTTTGCCGGTGCTGATAGGAGCCGGACCCTGCACTTCGCAAAGCCCTGTGCACCCCATCAACTTACTGTAACTTACCATAACTTGTTTAATCAAACTTCAGGAGCACATTGTGCTCGAAGCCGTGCGGAAGCACCTGGAGCTGCCCCGGCAATGCGCACGGAACTCGAGAGTCGTCGTGTCTTCGAACTCATTGCAGCAGCTGCCTTAAACACAGATGCCTGGTGAGTGACATCCCTCTAAGCTTGAGTCTGGGGTGATTCCTGCAGGTACAGGCTTTAGCAAGTTTAGCCCCGAAGCCACACTTTATCGCAGCATAGGTGAAGCCTGCAGACGTCCATGTGGACAGTCGGAACCCGAGATTGCGGGGACACCACTCCTTGCCGCCTTAGGGTCGTGGTGTTGGTGGTGGTTTTAAACGCCGCAGCGGCAGCAGCAGCGGTAGCAGCACATGGATATATCTGCTTGTTTGTCTTGTGTGGAGATGCTCAAATCCTACTGCCTCACGAGCAGTCTTTTAAGTGAGGTTCGAACTGCATGCACGTTCAATATGCGATCGAGGCAGGAACTGGCGACATGATCCAGAAAAGCGCACATGTTACCATGTTGTTTGCGATTACCGTTGCCATTGTAGTTTTAATTGTTGCCAATTGATATTGCTAGTATTTCTTAGTGCAGTATGATTGTGATGGTCTTTAATATTTGCATCTTAATGATAATACTATTGTTAAACTTCGTGGGATTTGCTTTTGATGCAAGTCTTCAAAGTTGCATTCATGCCGTTCTTGCTGCAAGCCGTGTTGCTGATGAGTGTTGTCATTACCATGTCCAGCATCACGACCATCAATGTCACCATCATCATACTCATCATCATCCTAATCCTCATCCGCGCAGGTCACAACTTCCGAGCACGAGGAGTTGAGTGGCGAAGCGCTGAGGACTCCACGACACAGGTTGCAAGTCAAACGACCTCGATAAAAAAATCCGCCCCCCCCCCCACTGCAAACCGAGCTCCTTTCCCGCCGAGATGCCTCCGAAGCAATGGCAAAAGGCCCATGTGGGAGCTGCTGTGACGATTGCGCATTGAGGGTCTTGAGGGAGAAGTGTCAGAAGTAATGCACAGCCTGTTGGGTCCTACATAAGCTGTAACCCCAGGCAACCGGGAAGCCTTCAAAGCTAGCACTCCCGAAACGAAACCCTACGCAGGCTTTCAGCTGAAGGACAGCCTGGAGATGCCGAAGCTGAAGGAGGCGATTCTTGAGGCGCTGCCAGAACCCAACGAGAGCAGAGCAGCTGGTATACGAGGCTGTTATATACTAGTCGCGGTCAGAGGTTCCTTCATTTCCTTCACTAAATTGTGCCGGACTATACTACTCTATGCTATGCTATACCATGTTATACTAGACGAGACCAGACCCAGACGAGACTATAAGTGATGCGCTATGCTATGATATGACATAGCATCATGTAAACTAGCACAATACAATACAGTACGGAACAATTATATATCGCAAGATGACACACTACAATACAGTCTAGTTCAGGGCTGAGGGTGCTTCAGGTGCAGGATTGGAGCTTGTTTTGCTACATGGTTGCCACAAGCACCACAAGTCTTGGTCTTATGTCTCGCAATAGTTTTGGCGGCAAAGGCACTGCTGTGAAGGCCTATTTCAGGGTTTTTTCGATCGAGGTTTAGATGATCACGACTCGGATGACGGCAGAAAGCCGCATGAAGACTGTTACAGCAGTTAGACAATAATGCTCTTTTTCGACGGCGACGAGGATAAGCCTTCATGCGCAACAATCATCCCTTGCCAGAGATGGTTGTGGACTGCGATTTGCCGATTTCAAGAAATTGGAGCCTTCTGTACTCAGCTCCAAACATGTTGTGGAATCCTGCAATGGCGAGTTATGGAATACCCCAAAGCGTTTTTCATCTCGGCGTGGAAGTCCCCCCCAAAATTGCAACCACGCCGGTGAGTGTGACATGTCGCTTTTTTCTGTCGTCGTCCTCGTCAGTGTAGCGTTCTTGGCCGTGAGATGTGCACCCACTTCACCCGGCTTGCGAGTCGCATGTGACATTGAATGCTGGTGCAGACATACAGGAGATGCTCCGGTTCACCAACGAGAAGGTCAAGCCGGAGAGGCTGAGGCCGTGCAGTTTGAAACTCCAGCGTTACTGCGAGCAGCACAGAGATACGGGCTAAATGATCGGCTTGTGCCCCGGATGCGAGTACTCCGGGCCAAGCCGTGAGCTCCGCAGGATCCTGCCTGTGCTCGTGAAGCCGCTCGGCGACCTCCGCGTTGAGGCGCCCGGCCTTTGGTCAAGAACTGGAGGACGCAGAATGAGCACAATATAGCACAATGATTCCATCTGAAGCTTCCGTGGGAGTGCGAAGGGAGCAAGGGAGCTCTGTGAGTGCGAAGCAGGGCTGCAGGGTTGTTGGCGAGGTCAGCGAGGTTTCGTGCTTCTTCTTTCCGCGACATTCCCCGTGCCTGGGGTTGCAGGTGGAAAAGGAGATCACAAGAAACAAATCCCGTTGGGGTAAAGAAGAACTCCCAACACTCTCAAGACATGCTTGCTTGATGCGGAGGTGAGATGGGAGTTTGGCGAGGTCAAGCGCACCGACAACAAGGATCACAGCTACTTGGTCGGGGCCTCGGGCCGCGGTTCACCGATTCCGCCGCAAGCAACACTCAAAACGGTGGCCCCTCAACGAAACATGTTTCACGTTCACAGACACATATAGCCTATAGCTGCTACATATATATATATATATCCCTCTCTCCTCTAAGTGTGTCTGTCTATATCTTTGTATATATATATATATATATGTATATATATATATACACACACCTATACGTATCTATCTATCTACCTACCATTTATCTATCTATCTATGCATCTACCTATCCTAGCCTACCCACCTCCATCCCTCCCTGTCCGCCCCGGCTGGCGGTCTGTCCGTTTATTTATGTATGTCTATCTATCGGATCTAGCGTCTTGCCTTCCTGTCTCTCTCTCTCTCTCTCTCTCTCGCTGACTGCAGCGCGTGCAAAAGAGCAAGACAGTATATGTAAAGGCCCGCACACATGCAAGAAACTCTCGCGCCCATGCACCTACATTTTGCATGTTTGTGTGGTCTCAGCGCCCCTTTTCTGGTGCAGAAACACACTTGTGCAGATTTTGTTTAATGTCGAAGGGTTGCAGAGGGTTCAGGAGTGTTGCTTGTAACATTGTAGCACGAATATCAGACTGGGTTTGACCATGCTCGACTAGGCTTGCGCTCTTGTGTCACAAACCAAAACGAAAAGAGCCAATAATCAACAAAAAATCACCACCGAAGAAACATCCGGGCCGGTTTTTTTTGACTAGGGCAAGCAAAGAGCCAAAATATGTAAACGAATGTACAGCTCAAGCTGACCCTAATTGCTCACTTTATTACACAAATCTAAGTTCATACATGCATATCCGAGAGCCAAGCAAAAGCAAGCTTTCAATGCACTTGGAGGAATCACATTTGTTCACAACTCGAATCGAGTATGTGATACTGGATTGTTCTTAACCTTCTTCAAGATAGTGATCCATGCTTCTTCGTCTGGCGACTGATTCTAAATGGTTCGTTGGTCCGATAGAGAAGCTAAATGGCTAGAGCTCAGCTTGCTTACCTCATGAAGGCCCAGGCGTAAACCAAGCACTGTACTGCTATAGATAGACTATTTTCACCAGCCGTTCAATATGTTCAACCGAGTCAGTCAAACACAGCTACGAAGGTCAACAGGTCTTGCATCTCAAAAAGAGCATGTTGAGCAGTTCAGCCAATCACTATGTGAACTACAGCACATTGGCGATCCTGCCCTAAGTTTTCTGCCTCATACAATCTTCTTCCTTGCAACACACTGTCTTCCTCTGTCGTTGTCTGTAGAGGCACGTGGCTAGGTGGATAGGAAGGACGGCAGGTCATGTCTACCCGACCGCTGCACTGGTGACGTTCCCACATGCGCATCATTTGTGTTGCGTTTCAGAAAAGCGCTGAAATGATAGGTGTGTCGGTCCCTCCTCATGAAAAAAGTTTTATTGACGTACTTGCGTTACATAAGCAGACCGTTGCTGGTGGCTTACTCGCCTGGCAAAGTGAGATTTGTTGGGAGGTTCAGCTGGATGAGCTTTGCAGGTCACGGTGCGACTGCAAAGTTGCAGAATTCGTACGGTTCTCGTTCGGCATCGTGCGCCCAGGACGGAACTCTCATCACCTTTGCGGGCCGTTCTCTTCAGGAGGCCTGCAATTGAAAAGCTTATGCTGTACATCGCAAAGAAGCCCTGCCAGTATGAATGACAACCGCACTTCACTCGCAAGAGTGCATGTGAGTTGCATCCATTGCAGTAGTGTCGAGATTATGTCTGTCGCCCGTAGCATCACCATCATCGTCATCATCGTCATCACCATCATGACCACCATCCAGTGGCCATTGGATGAGCTCATGTAATTGTGGTCACCGTGATGCGTGCAGTGCAAGTTTGCGCAGTGAGCACAAAGTTGACCGCCCCGCCAAATGGGCACAGTGCTTTGGCTTTGATGTTTCAAGCATGTGCCCCGGCCAGATCATCGACTATCGAGGAGCACATGGGGTGCCTCCGGCTTGAAGTTACCAAAGTGATCGGCGAGGGTCGTCTTCAAAGAGAAGCTTGAGTGACGCCCTTGACTCAAGCCCAAGCTTCGCGTCCTAGGTGCGTGTCGTTCACAACGGCGTGGTGGACTATGACGGAGTCTGGGTGGGTCCTGCTGGCTGCTCAGAAGCTCAGCTTCTGCTCCGTCTCCATAGTCACAGCCTGCGAGGTCGGAGTCAGTGATGCGTCGGATGGTGCCATCAAGCACAGAGGCAAACTTCACGGTCTTGAGCCGATGCTGCGAGAGTTCTTCTTCACTTTCTCTGTGCAGGCTTGGTGCTGGATGAGTTGCCTCGCTCTGGGACGCAAACCTTCGAGGCACCTGGCCAGCCTTCAGCCAAAGCAGAGGTCTTCGCTCCAAGCCGACCCTCAACGATTAAAACCCAAGGTTGAATCCCAAAGCCAGGTTCAGCTGGAGCAGCTCCCTCCTTCGACCACGGCTTCGGCCTCATCTCTTTTTTGTAGGAACTCAGGTGCTTGTGAGGTTTAGGATTTGAAGGAACACCGGGTTCAGGGTTTTCAGATGTTTTCGGGTCCCGAAAACTCCCAGAAGAGCAAGGGCAGCGGATAAGAGCAGAATTTGCAAACGAAGCTGAGAATCTCAAGCGTTTTCTGATCTGAGTTGCCAGTGCAAGGACATCTTCGTAGTTGTGTCATCCCCGTCTGGGAAGGAGCTGAGCAAGTGACCCCTTCCGACACTTTTTGAAGCAAGGCTTCTCGAGTTTGGCGTCAATTTGGTCTCAGAGATTCGCAGCCGCATGGCTTGGCAATGTATGGATCGTCGAGCCAGGTACAACAACATCACCGTGGTCCTCAGCTCCGGTCATCAGGTCAGCCTGCAGGGCTCAGGGCTCTTCACACGCTGAGAGAAAGCCCGGAAGGCAAACTAACACCATGTCGGACCACTTCCAGCACGCAGACTCACAGAGATCACAAGCTGTGCCTTGTCCGAGTCCAACCCATCGGAGATCGCAGGTGTCGACTTGCCTCCTCAAGTCCAAGCCGTCGCACCGACCTGAGCCGCCAGCTGACCAAAGCCTCGGATCCGAAACACGCGTCCTTCAGACCCCTTCTCGCGAGGTCTCCGGGTGTGGTGTTCTGCCGGCTCTTCAAGCAGGGTGCCTCTGCTCATCAGAAGACCTTTCTCTCGGACTTTGGACTCCTCCTCATCCCCTGCCCCTGCCTTGCAAGCAAGGTACGGCGTGGAAGCTGGGAGCTTGCAGGTGCGATCCGACAAAAAGCAGATGAAGAAGAAGAAGAAGATGATCATGATGACGGAACGTCGAAACAAAGAAAACTCCCACAGATGTAGAATATTGCAGAACACAGTAAATTCAGACACTTAGGAGTCATTGCCCCGATGCTTGACGACGACAATGACAAGAGCCAGAACGAGACGAATCGTTTGTGCTTGCTTTGGGCGAGGAGTCCAACAAGTGGCGGATGTCACGACTTCCGGCCCGCGATAGACAGCCCGCTTCCCGGTGTTTGCTGACTGGGGTGTCCATGCTGATGCCTGAGGCATGCTGAAAACGTGGGGTGGGGGGCAAACTGTTTTGCAAACGACTGGCTTTGAGGCCTTCGCGCCATCCAGGCGCAGACGCACCCAAGCTCGGCCCAGGCAGGGGTTCGGGGGCTTGGGATCTGCTCCAAGAGCTTGAGCCTTTGCCGAGATCTCCTTGGGGGACGAGTCCAGCCGACAAGCGAGAAGGCCCGGGGGACAAGCCACATGGGCGACGCCTTTGATCTCTTTCTCTCGCTTTGTCGTCCTCGCGCTAGCCGCTAGCTCCCCGAGGTTTCTGCCGCTGCAGCAGGTCCGCAGCAAGTCCCCCGCTCAGCACGCGCCCGAACACAGAGACCTGCAAGATCGATTCCGGCCGAGGCCTGAACCAGAAGCAAACCACAGCTAACCCCAGGCTGACCCGAACCTTCCAAAGCCCCACAGTCCCCAAAGTCCCCAGCTCAACCCTAAGCTGAAAAACAACCAAGCCTCCTAACTCCGAACCCGGCACCCAAAACCCCAAACTACAGCCTTAACCTCTGATTTCGGATTTGCCAGAGCCGAAACTGAGGGGGATGGCGATGGAACGCCAGCTCTCGACCGGTTCTGTCTCGAGCCTGCGGCCCGGAGGGGACAGTGATGAAGAAGACTCACAAAGAACAGTATGGTAGTAATAAGACACCAATTACGATAACGGTGAGAGCAGAAGAATCATCATGAGTATCAGTAGTATTTAGAATAGAGTTTTAAGGCAGGCAGTTGTGGGGTTTGGGTTGGGAGCTGCGAGTCCAGGGAAAGGGATGCTTGGTACTTGTTGCGGGATCCAGATCTCGCTCTCTGCAGCACGTCTGCGAGTCCAGAGGAATCCGAAACCCAGAGCCGAAGACGCTTGTCCGCGTATGGCACGGGCGGGCCTGAGCAGTCTTGAGCTCCGGATGTATCGCTTATGTCGGAGAAAAACATGCAAGCACACAGAAGGAAGGCCGGGAGGGTCACCCAAATACAATCCTGAAGCCTGATGCCCATCGCCACTGGAGCCCAGAAATTAGACCATCCTAGACCCTACAATCCTAAGCGCCTTCGAAATGCGAGAAACCCCAAGCCTTCAACCCGCGAAAGCTCGAGCATGTTATATTATGATATATGGTATTTCTTTTTATCATCGTTATGTATGCACCTTGAGCACTCCCTACCGAGGTCTCATAGCTTGGTCCAGCGACAAACGGCCCAACGCGCGGAGGCTGTGTTTTGGAGCCTGGTGGAGACAGGGCTTTGGGTGGGGTCGTATTCGAAAGTATACGGGGTATGTGGGAGTTTCCTAAACTTAGGGATACCTTATTTGGGGGTCCCTATAATCAGGATCCTACTATTTAGGGTATTGTATGAGGGTCCCCTATTTTCGGAAACTCCCATGTATGAGCAAGATGAGGTGGCTGAGGCTCCCGTGTTCAGGTACCCTCCATATAAAGAGGGCCCTTTTTGGTTTTTAAGGGGGCTCATAAGGGAACCTATAAACCCCAAAAAAGGGAATAAGGACCTACTCTGGATCCTAATCATCTTAGAGTGCAGGGCCTTCCAGCGGTCTAGGTGCGTTGTTGGAGTTCAGGCTTTAATTAGTTAGTTAGAGGCTGAACGCGGTAGAGGACTTGCAGTTGGCAATTAGGGTTCAGCTTTGGTTTGAGCTGAGTTCAACAATGAATTCCTGGCAGAGGTTCGGGGTCTCCTGTGCTGCGTCTCGGGGCTGTTGATGTTTGATTTCGTTTCAGCATGACATGTCCAACTGCAGCTTCCCTAGAGCTCTAAACTTCTGCATTCTACGGTCTAGCGCATGATCGGCAGCATGAGACTGGAGGCTGTGCCATTTGCCAGGTTCTCTGTCGGAGGCTGCGAGTGAGGAATTGGAGCGAGCTGCAGACCCGGAACCTCGCAATGATAGTCTAACCAAGGTGTTTCTACACGTAAACATGTTATTTTAAATATATGTTGCATGCATGTCGGTCTGTCTATCTCCAGTTCGATCTTTCTCTCGCTCCCTGTCTCTCTCTCTCTCTCTCTCTCTGTTTCTGTTTTTCTCAATCCGGCTCTCTTCCTCCTCTGTCTCTGTCTCTATCTCTGTCTGTGTCTCTGTCTCTCCCTGTCAGTCCACGTATATCTGTATAACATATTTGGACTTTGGGTGCACTCAGTGATCGACGCAGCTTAATTGGTTGCAGCCAGCGCTTTGTAGCGCCTGAAGGGCTTGCTTAATGGACTTCGCCAAAAGCAGTCTGGCGCCCTAAGGGTGGGACTCCGCCCCTGTACTGCTGCAAGCCAGGTTGCTTGCAGGATATCGGGCAGGAAGGTCCACAATCTAGCTTCCACGGCTGAGGCATCTATTCTGCTACTGTGTGCGCTCCACTCAGCTTCCCAAGCGTCAGACAGTTCAAAGCAGGGATAGTCTGGGGTCACGTGTTCAGCCCGATTGGGGATCACTTCGTCCCAGTTGAAGTTCTCGAGTCGGTCAGCAAAAGTCGCGTAGTGATCCGCTCGGTCTTCACCTGTCTCCTCCCGAGGTGGGAGGTCTGTGGGTGGTGTGAGGGTCCTGAGCAGGGCCTTGGTGACGACGTCGTAGGTTCCTTCAGACCAGTACTCCTCTTGTAGCTCGTGGATGACCTCGTCGATTTCCCCCAGGACCTTGTGCACGATGTAGGAGATCTCGTCTTGGTAGAGGGGCCACGAGTGGAGGATGCCCTCGAGGATGTCAACGACCTTGCCCTCGTCAGTAGGTAGGTCCTTGCAGAGCAGGGCACAGGAGAGGTCGAAGTGCGCCTTGGTGACAACCGGTGCTTGGACTTCGGCTGTGGTGTCGAGCATGGGCATTGTTTTTGGACATGGTACAGCCAGACAATCCATCTCCTGGGCTGCCTTGCGCCAAAGTCGGCTGCCAATGCCTGGCCTCACTGACTTGGCCCTATGGCCAGCGGCGCGGAGCATGTCCGCGCAGTGCGGGGCATCTCTGAGGTGCACATGCAGTCGGTTCTCGCTGTGGTAGTCCTTGCCGCATGCTGGGCAGATCGTGCCGTCTGTGAGTCCTCGGTGGCCAGCGACTCTCTGGTGTGCCTTGAAGAAGTGGGCACCAAGCCCAGCCCTGCTCTTGAAACCGCGGACACAGATTCGACATATCCAGGGGTCGGGAGAGAGCTCGGCAGGTTTGGAACTCGCGAGGGTCTGCCGGTAGATGGCCCATAGGGTGAGGGCAAGCTTGTGGTGGGCGCAGTAGTCGCGAGTGCCTTCCTTGATTCGCCGTTTGACCTGGCGTTTGAACCAGGGTGTAGCCGTGCGAAAAATGTTGACCCATTCTGGCCAACCAGCTTCATCGCATCGTGGCCAGCGTCCGGGCTCCTGGCTTTCCCCGACAAGCCACCGTAGGTCCTGTTGTACAGCCTGGAACCAGCTCTGCTCATCCTGAAGCATGGCCCAGAGCGGAAGAGGGGCAGCCTTTGACATTGAGCAAAGGAGGCTCAGTCTTGCCCTTTTGAGGAGGATCTCGAGGGGCGGGGTGGATGTCGCGAGGTGAACCGCCGGGAGCGGGATGTGGAAAGCGGCGTCCCCACCCCACTGTCGAACTAGAAGGCGTCGTAGCAATCGTGTATAGCCATTGCTCAGTATGTTCCAGGATGGGCCGTCGTCGGTCCACAACCCCAAGTTGAAGTAGACCGGGTCTATGGTCGCCTGGAAAAGCGCGATCCTGGTGGTGAGCTCAAGGCGTGGATTCGCAAAGAAAAGCTTTTTGCCAGAATCATATGCCGAGCCAGCTATGGCTGTGCGTCGTCGAGCTTCGATCGTCATCTTGGGCTCGCCGTCGACAACACCTCCCAAGTGCTTGTACTGGTTGGAGATCGGCACCGTCACCCCAAGGTCGGGGAGATCAAGCTGTTGTCCTTGGCGAGGGAAGTATTTGGTTCGGACCCGGTGCGAGCCTTTGCCACGGAGCTTGAGCATGATGGCCGACTTTCCAGGTTTGAGGTTCGGCCGGAGGCCGTGTTGCCAGCAGAACTGGATGACAATGGTGCAGAGGCGCACGGTCTTCCGAAGCAGGGCCTCTGGATCGTGGTCGGACAGTGGCCAGGCGCTGTCGTCGGCCCATGTGGCGTCAGCGACAGTAATTTCGCCTCCTTGTCCACTTGCGGCATAGGGTCCCGCTGAGGGGTCACAGGCGATTTGGTCGAGGACCGACTCAGCAGTAGCGTGTTCCGTCACGACCGCGAGGATGCGGCTGTAGACCCATCCGAACACAATGTCAGCCCAGCTTTCGCCGGGTCGAGATCCAGCGGCAGTTTGCGTGACTTGTGATCCGTCTGCGTAGGCTGTGATGAACCAGGCCCTGTTGTGGAAGTCCTTGATGTTGTGGCGGGTCGTAGCCGGCAGAGAAGTTTCTGCAGCCATGCCTCCGGACACGATCTGTTGGGCCATCTCGTGGTAGTCGGAGGGGTCGAGGTCGAAGTGTTGGAAGACACGGATGATCGAGTCATCCTGGGTGATGTCTCCAAACGCGAGTTGCCGGATGATGCGGTAATAGGCCGCCTCAGTATCGAGGTAGAGCATCGCGGTGGACTTCTTCGATGTTCTTCCACGTCTGGCGTGGCCCAGGATGTAAAGTGCCGGTAAGGTGACCGGGCAGTGTCGCCGAGCTCCGAGCTGGAAACTGTGGAAGGCTCCCTCAAGGTCACGCTGGGAGCGGGTGCGGAACATCTTGTGAAAGCATTTACCGACCGTGGATGACACGAAGAGGGAGCGAAAGGATTGGGGGTCGGGGCTGGAGCCACTCCGTTTGTATGCCTCGTGAAGTAGACCGCCACGCCACTGAATAGGCTGGCAGATCTGAGCCGTTGCTTTGGCAAAGAGTGGCCATAGGAGTTTGGCCGTCGCTGCCGGGGCGGCTCGGAGCATTTCTCCACGGACATTGTCAAGTCCCGGGGACTTGTTGCAGGGAATAAGCCTGATCGCCTGCTCCACTTCGATCAGTGAGGGGACATCAGCAATATTCCAGTTGAGCTCGACGTCCTGGAAGGGTGGGCACTGTGTCTGCAGGAGGAAGGCCTCTGTGCGCATCCGGGTGCCAAGTTCCTGCTCCCCAAAGTGTCCAGCCCAAAGGGCGTCCTGTTCAGCTCGGCTGCCGACCGCGGTGCCGTCCTTGAAGCGAAGCTGTGGCAGGGGTCGGGAGACTGGGCGGGCCTTGGCTCCACCGGCACCGGCCGCCTTCGCTTGTCGAAGTATTGCCCCAGGTGGGCGACTCGTGTCACCTGCCAGTTCAGCCAGGAACTTGTTCTTGCTGACACAGATTTGTTGGCGGATGCGTTCCGTCGCAAAGCTGATGGCAGCTGCCGCGACATGGTATAGGAGACCTTGGCGGGCGATCAGTGGGGCGACCATGTAGTCGACGTCATCGCGCCATTGAGAGAAAGCGCGCAGCAGAAGGTCCTTCCAGAGCTGTCTGCGGTGGCGAACCCTTCGCTTCAGGTTGAGCTTGTGGTCGCGGAGTCGCCAAGTGTCCTGAGTAATGAAGCTCGCCCGTGGCCGGTTCTCCGGGAGGGGGAAGTGTCTCTGCATAATGCCGAGGAGGTGGTCTTGTACCTTTTGGCAGTGGGTGTCCGGGTGGCACGACCAGTCCGGGTGGACAAATTGGTTCATTTCCGCCTCCATTGTGCGTCGACCTTCCGGGGTCATGAGCTTCGCGAGGTCAAATTTTGGGCGGCGTAGAGCTGCGCGAGGCCGATGTCGGTGAAGAGCACAGGAGAAGTCAAGAAATACTGGCCAATGGTCTTCTCGGTCGCAGCCACTGTCGAAGGTCGTGCACACCGCTGTGATCACGTCGGTGATTTGAGCTGTGCCGCCGAGGGTGGGGAAGTCAATACGGTGCTGAGTTCCTTGTGGATGTGTCCACGTCTCGGAGGGACCGACGTGGAGCTCTGGAAACGTGGTAGGGAACCACATCCCCAGGGACTCGAAGGTGGAGACAGCAAGGTGCCCAATACGGTCAGGTTCCCCGCATGCGAGAGGGCCAGTGACTCCAAGAGCTCCCGTGGGAGGTCTGCCATTCAAGTCGAAACCAGCGAGAATAAGTTGGGCTTGTCGGTGGGGTGCGACCGCCGTGTGTAGGGTGTCCATAAAGGAGACCGCTTCCTCATACTTGGTGTCGTGGGGGCAATGGCCGGAGATGACAACTAACTTGTAGTTGTCCTTGGAGATAAGTAGGACAAGCAGTCGTGGTGTGCTAACCAGCGTGCGGATGTCCGTGAGCTCAATCTTCCAAGGTGATCGGCCGAAGGAGAGGGCCCCACGGGTTCTGCTAAACCAGACAGCCACTCCCCAGTGTGTCTCCGAAGCCGACGACAACCGAAGGAATCGGGACGATTGACATACACCCTCTGTCGCCTTGGTCTCCTGCAGAAAGGCGATGTTAATCTCGAGGTGGTCGAGCTGGTCCTCGAAGAACCGAGATTTGTTTTTGGTGCCGAGGGAGTTCAGCGTGAGGAGCTTGGCCGCAGCTGTGCGTTCCTCGCTGAGCTCAGCAACGTTCCCCGGCCTCGTGGGGATGAGCTCATTGGGTGTGAGCGGGGATGGGCCGAAGTCGTCTGGTGGTGTCCACGTGAAGGAAGTAGTGTTGACCGGCAGCACCCGATGGAGCTTGGGGTCAACAGTTGCTGCCAGCCAGCTGAGGTCGCTGTTCTGCACCAACCTGCATACATCAGCCGGCGGAGGTGTCAAGCCGTGGCCTTGCCGTGCGACGGTCTTGGCTGCCACGTCGACGAGCTCGTTGAAAGCCTCACCTTTGTGTGCATGTACATGTTCATAGGAGGGCTCCTTGCCGAAGATGGCCGAGATGAAGTGGTGCAGCCCCCGTGCCGCTACCATCAGTCCGGAGGTAAGGTTGGAGCTGCCTTGTACCGCGAAGCCTGCCGCCTGGCAATCAAAGTAGATCGTGACGGCTCGGTGGTCAAGGTAGGGCCATGTCTGTGCCAGCCAGAGGAGGGCTGTCGTAATGGCAATCTGTTCATTGACGAGAGGGGGGGGTCCCTGTACTTCCCAGACCGAGCCAGTGGGGTGTCCGTGGGTACGATCTCCACATAAGCCAAAGAGGGCCCATTCGTCATGGTGTGCAATGAAGATCGCGATGGCAAAGCCTCCGAGACCAGTGTTTGGGTCCCACGATCCATCAACATATATGTGGAGCGATGGGAGGTCATGCGGGCCCAGGCCAGTGAGGATGTCCTTCCAGTTCTTGAGGTCGCTGATGGCCTCCTTGGTGACCTCCTTGAAGTCGAAGTTCTCGACCTCGAAATGCAGCCAGTCCAGGGGCCAAGGGCAGGTCAACTTGTGTCCTGTGGTTGGGTCATGTGGCAGGGTGACCGTCTGTGAAAGGAGGCTGAAGGACGGTGCTTCAACATGTTCAGCAAGCCGAACAGTAAAAGGACCTTCGGAAGAGGCGAGGTCGGTGGCCGTGGGGCTGTCGTGATGCGTTCTGGTATCAACAGTATGCACAGAGAGAGCTCTGTCACGTCCACGGGGGCTGCGGCTTCTCGGGCGGTTGACCGGCTGTGGTGGTGGTGGGCCAAAGGGACCGGATCCTTGTGGAGGGCCGTCCGGTGATGGGAGATCCGAAGAGCTGGGCATGTTGTCGTTACCACGGTGCTCATCATCAGAATCGTCCTCGTCATCATTGGCCTCGCTGGTAGGGGACGCGGAGGAGGTAAGAGAGGTTGTCGGGACAAGGACGACCTCAAGAACTTCACCGTCCTCGACCTCGATGACACCATGGCGTCCTTTCGTTCGGCCGCCTTTGACGACGATTGTGAAGTTGTCAACGACGTCGACCTGGAGTGCAGCAACGTAGGCCGCTGCCCTGAAGAGCCCCCCATTGACTGCTGTCCACTGCACCCATCGTCCAATCGGTCTGAGGTCGAGGAAGATGATGCCATGCGTCTGCCGTGGTGTGGTTCTCTGGTCGACGACCGCAACAACGGAGTGGATGCGCTTCTCGTCGCTGTAGAGGGCTCGGGGGCGCTCAGTTGGAGCTCGGACCCAGGTGTGCTGCTGTTCGAGATCGAAGGCTTCGCAGGCGACTTCGAGAGGTGGTCGTCTGTCAGTGGGGCCGGTGCGGTGATGCCAAACAGCATTGTAGGTCTGTAGCTCGACGTATCTCCCTGCAGCAGAGTCAGGGTGGCCAATGTCCGGGTCCCACAGGAGTGGGTCATGGAGGCGGTCCCGTAGTTCATCTACCCATTCAGGTTGCATGTCGGGCCGCATCACCTTGATGAGGCTGCCTTGTGCCGGTGCAACGGTGTCCTCTGGCCCAAGGGGTCTCGCTGAGCCAGCCACAAAGACATGGAAGGCTGTATCCTGGTCGAGCCCGAGCTTACCAAGAACATTGAATCGTGTGACAGGCACGCTCAGGTAGATGGGGCAGATGCCGTGATCGATGTCCCTCGCATCGAGTACGAGGGCTGTGGTATTTGAGTGGGGGATCCAGCTCGGCACAAGGAAGAGGCTGCCGTAGAACTCCTCCAGCTGTGGGGTGATAGGAATCGCCTCGCTTAACCACTCGTGACCGAGGCCGTCAGTAGAGTCGAGGACAATCTCGACGATGCTTTCGATAGTCTGTGGGAAGTGCACCGACACATCCACAGAGTGTGGTTCGATGCCGGGGGAGCACATCCAGAAGGAAATGTGGAAAGTCTCCCTCTCGTCGATGAAGTGCTCGTCAGCAAGGAAGCCTTCGTCGTCCAAATCGGGCGCTCTGGCGGTGGAGGCGGGAAAAGCGGCGGTCCGCCAGGGTGTAGTCGATCGGGCATGATGCCACCACTGTGGAGGGGGGTGTCATAGATCAGGCGTACCTCCTGTGCAACAGCTTGTTCGTAGGGGGTGAGCAGCCCGCTGGTCCACAGTTCAATGTCGCTGGGGCGCCGCCAATCTTCCCGCGGTGCCGGAAGGGGACGATCAGCTGTTGGGGAAGCCTTCACAGAGACAAGGACCGCAAAGCAGGTTATGATCCGTAGCCAGGCTGGGCGGCGGCGAGAAGGGCCCCCTCCGATCCTGTTGGCAAAAGGGCGCTGCCACCGGGCCTGGCAGAGAAGGACGCCGGTGAGGGCCATCAAGATAAAGAGCCCGGCACTGTAGAAGAGACATTTGCAGTGCGGCTCAAGCAGCAGGGCATATTCAACGAAGAGCCCCGCCAAGGCATCAAGCATGATGTGCTCGACGTCGAGGATGTCGTAGACCTTAACAATAGCCGTCACGGCCTGTTCGGAGTCGTGGTGCAGGGCCCGAGGGCCCGTGTGATGTGCCGGCACCCATGGTTGTTGTGCCGGGCTGGTAGAGGTGAACTGACCGAAAAAGTCACCAGAGGGATTGGGCAGCTTCTCCCCAGAGGGCTGCCAATGCGGACCGTCATGCTCAGGGACTGGCCGAAAAAGCCCTGTAGCACCGTCCGGGGTCATAGGTGGCGAGTCGGGGCTGCATCGCCCTGCCACTATTCCACCTCGCCTATCCCAGGTTCTGGGGGGCGACTGTTGTGGCCTGTGAGGGCACCGACCATGTCCTCTTCGGAGTCCTCCACTGTCACGGTCGTATTGTCCTCCATTGCTTTGGCACGGCTTTGATCGAGCTTGTCGCTCAGCGATGGCCGGGAGCCAAGCTCTGTTTGCGGCTTGGTCCTGGTCTTGACCGGGAGTCGGGGTTCTGTCGGTCGGGGCCTCGATGGTGTACGCTCCATGCCGGTGTACTCTTTGCTGCCCGTGGACGGCGACTGCAGATAAGGATCTCGCTTGGCCGCACCTTCCAACCAGTTGTCCACTTCGGTGGGCTCCGCCAAATCTGTCGTCTTGGCTGGACGGCTTGGGCACGGTGGTGTGCGCGGCGCTTGGTCCTTGTGCTTGCGAGGCGGGGTAACAGCATCGGCCGGTCGCCCGCCTGAGCGAGCTTGGTTGGTGCGGTGTGCCGTGAGGATCGCGAGGAGTTCCTGCCTGGTGTCGGCGCCTTGGCGGGTGCGGCCCAGGAGGGCACCTTGGATGCGAGAGGCTACATCTTCGTTTTGTTCCGCGTCTTCCAGAAGGCCTTCCTACTCCTTCTGCACATCGTCCGGAACGTCGTCGGCCTCGACATCCATTGCCTCGTCGCCGGTCTTGGAGAACGCCGCCTGCAGGGACTCGATGGCCTCCTCCTGAGCCTCTTGCATCTCGGTCGTCTCTGCCTTCAGGCGGTTGATGGTCTCGTAGTACTTCGATCGCTCCGTGACAAAGCTTTTCTTCATCTGTGTTTGCCACTCCGCCCACTTTGCGTCGGTGTCCTGGACCTCCGTCTCCAATTTGCGAAGCCTTGTTTCGCACCTTCGTAGGTTGTTGACCGCTTTCTGGATGTGGCGAGCCAAACCACCAGTTGGCTGGCTCCCATCCGTCGTGGCTGCAGCAGTCGAAGCCGAAACGCCTTTGCCCTGGCCCCCACCAGCCGGTGGCCTGGTCTTGCTGTTGGCAGGCATTTGCTCGAAACTGGGGAAGGCCGATGTGTCCTTGGGCTGCCTCCCTTCTTTCGCTTTGCCCTTGCCGCGGTGCTTCGGGTTGGGCGCACCATGGTGGGGATCCGACCGCGGCCCACCAGAGGAGTAGTAGTCCTCCCATTCTTTTGCCGTCCATTTCCGTCCCATGGAAATGTCGCTGCTCCAGCCAGCTGCTTCCTTATAGGCAAGCCTTGTGTGATGCTTCACCAGTAGGCGAAGCGAGGCCTTCGGGGCCGGCAATCCACGTTGCCTTGCCAGATGGATGGCAGCTCTGGCCTTGGAGCGGCGAGCCCTCGCCTTTCGGTGCCACGCCGGCGAGTTCGGGATGGCTTCAGCGTGTCTAAGACACTGGGGCCCTGGCTATATTCTGGGGTGTTCCCAGAACTCGATCCAGAATGCCCTCTGTATAACATATATATATATATAAATATATACTGCCTGCCTGTCTATCTACCTATATGTTTATCTATACATGTCCATCCGTCCGTTCATCCATCCATCCACCCACCCGACAAAGCTATGTTAGAATACACACACACACACACATATATATATATGCATGCATGTATGCATGTATTTCTTAATATACATATGTACACACGTGCCGTATGTACGTATGTGCATGCACACACACACACCCAGAGTATGAGGGTGAATGTGGTAGCCACATTGTTGGCAGGTTCTGCTTGTTAATGCGAAGCCTGGAACCAATCCGAACGTGAAAAACGCGTTCTGTACATAGCCCGTTGGCTCCGGACAAGAGTTCAAACTACAGACTGCAGGGACGGGGACACAGACTTGCCAGTGCTGCTGGTGGTTTAGGTTTGAGGTTTTAGGGGTTTGGGGTTTAGGGCCTGGGCTTTAGGGAGTTCACAAGATTGCCTCGTGACTTGCAGTGAGAATGTCGGATGCTCCACACGGAGCAGCGTACCCTACTACTCGTACTTCAGCAAGGCATAAATGAGAAGCAGAAGTTCTTTTGGAAGGGTTGCATCAAGGCTGGGCATGGTAATCTGCCTCGGAGCTTAGCTCGGTATCTCGGATCAGCTCTGCAAGTCATTGGAAGTAGTTTGTTTTGCTGTGCTTGCTTGCTTCAGCAGGCCCTGGATCCATGCAAAGTCACATGAATTCCCAGAAAATTGGAAAGGAATGCGAGTAGCAGTAGGAATAATCGTAGTAGCAGAGCAGCACAGATCTCAAGCTGGCGGCTTGCGGAGCACCTTTCAAGTTGTCAGCTCAGCAATCCCCATACCACAACCCTAAACCTTATAAGTCGTTCTGGAATACTCACTTGGCAATTATGATTGGTGTTGACTACGAATTCAGTTCATGGTCGAGGAGCGTGTGGAAGCCAGTTGTCAAAGAAACCGAAGCGTTTTGTACTCATTTGTGATCTGGCCAGTGACGGATCCACGTCTGGTTGTGAACTCCAGCATTTTTGGCAAGTATGATTTCGGAATCATAGTCGGGAGCATGTCCTGATGCTAGCTGCTAGCAATGGAACTGATCACCACAGTCCTTTCCTAAATCCAGTTGCACGCGAGGCTGTGATGTCAAACCCGACGCGCTCGTTCCTGTTCTTTGAAACCCATCCTTGATGGCGCCAGCTGCCTGACCTTGAGCGGAGCGTCAAATCTTTCCTTACGAGGCCCGCCCCGGGGAGACATGACTCTTGATTTTCTTTGCAGACCCGAGTCTGTCGGCGATAAGGGTTCCAAGCTGTATCGGAGATATAGATTGATGGCTTAGCGCTCGATGAGCTTGCACGATCTGTTGTTCTGAACCCCACCCCTCTCGCCGGAAACGAGGCTGTTGTTGCTAGTCAGGTAGAAGCAACAAATTCTGGTGTTCTACACCCCCCATTTCGCAACCCACCGGTGCGCCCCGTGTTCGCTCCTTTTCATTAAGTCTTTGAATCTAACGGGGCTCCGGTCTTTGTCTTTACGAACAACGACAGCAACACCAACTACTGCGGCTGCTGCTACGACTAGGAGTAGAGTACTACTCCTCCTCCTACTACTACTACCACTACTACTACTACTACTACTACTACTACTACTACTACTACTACTACTACTACTACTACTACTACTACTACTACTACTACTACTACTACTAGTACTACTACTACTACTATTACTACTACTGCTGCTGCTGCTGCTGCTACTACTACTACTACTACTACTACTACTACTACTACTACTACTACTACTACTACTACTACTACTACTACTACTACTACTACTACTACTCTGCTACTGCTACTGCTACTGCTACTGCTACTGCTACTGCTACTGCTACTGCCACTGCTGCTGCTACTACAACTACTACATGTACGTCCACAAAAGTCCTTAAGCGGCTAGCAGCTAGCAGAGGCTACCTTCGCATTCCAGCCGTTTCAGCTGCGAATTGTCGTCGCTTTGAGAAGCGATGTCGGGCGCGCTGGTGCGACCCCTGCTTTTGGCAGGATGTCTTCATGGAGTCTTTGCCGAATGCAACGTCTACCTGGAGACTGAAACCATGGCGGGCCCGGAAGAATGCACCAACGACGGGCTAGCTGACATCACAAACCCAGAGGAGGGTCAGGCTCAAGATTCCCGATTCCCCGGCTTCAATGTTTGGTACCGTTTGCGTTTGTGACTCTTAGCATCTTGAGCTGCTGCTGTTGCCCTGAGGAGAAAGCCATGGCAGCGTGCCTTCATGAGTGTTGGGCCAGCTACGTCATCACGTCGCAGCCGGCTAATGGAACCAATGCGGCGAAGGCGATGCCAGAACGGTCCAGCTGCTCAATTACGACCACCGTCCCAATACAGTGCAACCCGATTGAGCTTTCCTGCACCAAGCCCTTCAGCGAGTTCCCAAATGCCTGCAGTGGCAAATTGCCGTTTTTTTCCATCGGGCCCATCGAGCAGGACTTCTATTTGGCCTTCTATGCCTACAGCCAGGAGCTGGGGGGTGGCAAGTTTGAGAAGCTCTTGGCCACACGGCGAATTCTTGACAAGAACACTACCTGTTCTGCAAACTACCAAGTTAGGAAGGCGCACGGTGACAACTGTTTTGGCCTCACCACCATCAGCGAAACAACGGGCCCTGCGGTTGCTCCGCCTCTGCCACCAGCAATCGACGACATGCCAGACTCCTGGCCGAAATTTCCTCCAGTTTTCCCGCAGCAGCCAACAACGACCGCTGCACCCACGGACGACGGTGCCTTTCGGCACTTTATGAGGGTTCTTCCCTGGATTGCAGGGCCTCTTGCACTCCTTTGTGCGATAGGGGGTGGGCTGCTCCTTCGGCGTGCTAGGCAAACCGAAGAGCGGAGGGCTCTGAGGTCAGGGAGGTCGGAAACTTCCTCCGTCGAGATTCCATCCGTCAATTCCCTGAGTCGCGCCTGAATGGCTCCTGAGCTGCCGAGAGGGCGACTCAGAGACTCACACTGCGACATCCCCAAGCTAAGAGACTGGATCTGCAGAATCAAAAGAGGCCTCTTGAAGTCAAGTCAGGTTCCAGGTCCCGGCATGCGCGTTGATGCACACATCTCTGCTACAGTCGGGAGCGAAGCAAGCAATAATGTACGAGAATAAAGTTCGCAAGGGTCCGAACCACCCGAACTAGTGACAAGACCTGCATTCCAGCCAATGAAGTCAGAGATCTGCGAGTTGGACACTTTGCAGACGAAGTCTGTGCCTTGAATCTCTCCGCCCGAAGCCGAAACCTCAAAAACAGAGCCCTGCAAGGCAGCTTTTCACAGGGTACAGTGCTGAACTTGAAATTCCCTGCCACGGAAGATCGGGATCTCTCTGTCTCTCTCTCTCTCTCTCTCTCTTTCTCTCGGCCCTCCCAAGACCTGAAGCATCGCAGGCCCAATCCTTCATGGCAGGACACCCCCCCCCTGCAATAAGGACTTTGCGACTGCTTTGGCCAAAAGGCCAAAAAGGTATCCACAAGAACTACTTCGTCACTCTCGTACCGAACAAAGTTCCAACAACTCTGTAGTTAAGGACCGGGCCTTGCAATTCAGAATTGGCTTGGTTTGGTAGCCCATAAACCTGAAGCTGCCGTTGTAGCTGCAAAGTCCCAAGTTAGTTGCGCGGGCAAAGGGGCCAGAGGGGTCGTGCGAATCGATACGCCCGTTAACTGCGGAATTGTGCTTTCTAGGATACTGCCGTTGACGTGTAGCCAGTGCAACTCGCAGACTTGGATTAGCCCATGCGCACAACCAATTGGGATCAATTGGGCACTTTCGGTTCGGTTCTGCCATGGAAGACCCCCCCCTGGCCACAGGCATCCTGGAGCCAGTCTCCGGCTCTGCAGCTCCGCGTTCTTGCAACGACGCAGTTCCGCATTCGGAGGCACAAAATCGAGCTCAATTGGCGAGGGACCTGTGTTCGCGAAGGTTGGGATTGTGCAGCACGTGCGAGCCTTCAGATGGGCAAGTGCTTTCGGTGTTTCGGGTTCCCTCCGGTGATCAGGGGATATCAGGGGTGAATGACTTGTAAACAAAGTCCACATGTTTAGATCTGTTGATGATTGCAGAGGGCTCGGCCTTTCCGTGGCGGGAAGCACAAACCGCCGAGGCGTCATGTACCCTTGTTCAAGCAGGCAGAGTGTGTTCTGACGACTTCATGCGTCATCATGCTTCTCTACATGAGGGCACCATGCCCGGTGGTTTGGCCAAGCCCGGCTCCAAGATGCCTGCAGGTAGGCCAAAGCAAGAATCGATCAAGGTTAAGTCCGTTCTCTCAACAGTTGAGCACTTCTGTAACCATGGATTAGGAGGTGTTCGTCCTAGCGCCCAGCCAGCATCGCGGTCCTTTTGTGCATTCCATGTTAGCCCCTTAGACTTTGATGGCAAACCGAATTCCTGATTTTCAGCCATCATGGCACCTGCGCCTGTGCCTGCACCACAGACCGGCGCACCGGGGGCGAACCCGGTGCCGGCACCTGCCAGACCACGCGTTCCTAAGTGGAAGCTGCCGCAGAAGAAGTCGAAGGATGGCGTCAAGCTCTTTACGAGGACCTCGGGGGACATGATTATCAACTTCGTCTCTAGTAGACCAGTTTTCTGAGTGTCCACGGCGTGAAGTTGGATGTCTTGGACGAAACTGCTGGAGCCAAAAGGAGAGAGCAACTCATGGGCATCATCATGTTGGTTATATAGCTGTCCTCAATGGACAGATGGCTGCAAGCCCCAAGGGCCCACAACAGAATCCCCGGAAGACCTTGGCCATCAATCACAAGCCGATCCGCAGGTGGTGGCCACGCAAGAAGAAGCGGTCTCCAAAGAAGAAGACCACAATTCTCAAGGAGTTTGGTTTACTCAGCCTCTTGGGTCCAACAGGGTGCCATGTTTCCCGCGCGCGGGGCGCCGATTTTCCGAATGAAGGGCTTCTCTAGAGCCCAACGAACAATCTTGTCAGCGAAACTCCAAGGAAATATCATGATTTGGATCCCGTGGTGGGTGGCCGGGAGCTCATTGCGGTTTGGCCCAGGGCAGCTTTAGCTCACCATGGGATCAAGACGGTCTGCCGCAGTGCCGCTGCCGCCCACTACTACCACTCATGAGAATGGTTGTTGGAAGTCGTAAGTGGACTAGCCAGATTTGTACTGCACAGGCATGTCATGTTGAGACACCCCTTGTAGTCCCTCCGTAGTATTTGACAAAAAATCCACAGCCGCATGTGACCCAACACGAAACGCCGCCAACACGAAACGCCGCCCTCGCTCAGAGCTGCGTCCTCGAGCGGCTGACCTCCTCGGTCTCGGTGGCGCTTCAGCTGCTCCTGTCCACCCTGATCACCACCGAGCTTTTAGGCCGTAGGATTTGGGGGTTTAGGGTTCGGGCTTGCGGTTTTGGAGGACAGGGTTTAGGCTTAGGATGTTATAGTTACTATGAGATCATAGGGCCCACGCATATTCAGGGCCTTCGGATCCTTGCAGCTCGGGGGTTCGCCTTGCAGCCGGCTGCGAGTCTTCTGGCGGTGGCTATGATGAGGGCTGTCAAGTCTTCCCTGCTCTACTTCTGAATCCTCGTTCTTGCTTGTAGCTGCCGGCTCCAACATTCCTAGAAACCCAAAGAGCCAAAAAGGGGCAAGGAAGCTTTATGCTTTGAGCGAGTCGGGGAAGTCTGAAGCTGCCGGCTTCCGAGGGCTCAGGTCGGGGATCCGAGACTCCTCGAGAAAGGCCCGAAATGCCAAATCCCTCAGCCCACGGTCCCAGGCAAAACAGCACCCGAACGAAGGATTTTTAAGTTATCGGCTGCTGGTCTTGGGTGCATCTGTTTGCAGGTCTCGACGTCCTTTCCAGCAGGCTGGCTGGGACAGTATTTGTGTTTCATTTCTCTTCCACTGTTGGGAAAATGGTGATGCGGGCGGTGATGTTGCTGCAGCTGATGATGATGGTGAGGACGATCTTGATGAATAAGAAGATTAAGATCAAGCTGAAGCTGAAGCGGGTGATGATGATGCTGATGAAGAAGAAGATAAGGATAATGATCATGATGATGATAATGATGGCGATGACGATGACGATGACGATGACGATGACGACGATGATGACGATGACGATGAGAACGAAGATGCTTGTCATGTCATGACCACACATAAATGCACCTAGTATGGTAAGTATTACAGTAGTAGTGGCGGCCGCGGAACTTTCAGCGTGCCAGAGAGTCCGGTAGTTGTGGGGTGGGCGACTGGGGGAGCCAGGGGGTCAGGTTGAGTTTTGGATTTTGTGTAGTGTAGGGTGGGTTTTCAGTCGAAGGCGCACCACAAGTGACATCGCCCGCCCCTTGGGTTCTGCACGGCGCCTTGCCGCCCTCGCCTACGACAGCCGCTCGCAAAGAAGTACCATGTACATCAAGATAACCCCCCATCGCAATCACAACTACATGTGTATACACATATATATATATATATATATAGCTGCATGCATATGTATGTATGTCTGTATGTATATATATACATATGTATGTATATATATGTATGTATGTATATATATATGTATATATATATATATGTATATATATGTGTATGTATGTATATATATATATATATATATGGTAGTTGATCTACAGCTCTTGAGCCATGGTTTATGTGAAACGCCAGCTGTACAGCTAAATATGTTGTCGCGAAAGGTCCGCGATGCTGCCGCTAAAGTTAGTTACCTTTTGCGAAAGGTATCATACATACGCGAAGGCATGCATACATACCTACGTACGTACGTACATATGCACACACGTGTATGTGTATGTGCATGTGCATGTGCATGTGTATGTATGTGTGTATGCATGCATGATTGCCTGTAGATAGATCCAGAGTTTGTGTCTTTCTGCAAAGCCAATGACCAACCTCTTCGAGCTTGGACGTCGGTTCCGGTCCACGCATGCCCTGTTTGCACCATAAAGGCTCAGGGTTTACGGCTTAGAGGGCTTGCATGGGCTTACGGCAGGGTTTACAGATTCAGGGCTTCTGGGTTTGGGGTGTTGGGATTTAGGGCGTCAGGTTTGTGCACCCTTGTGGTATATCTTGCTCAAAACTTCAAGAGAAGCTATTGCATCCTTCCCCCAGCAGCCACCGATAAACAACTTTGCAGAGCTTCAGAGGGTCGGGGCCCTTAATGTCTGTATCCTTCTGGGGTGGCCACAAAATCCAAGAGCCCCCCATCTAATAATATTTCCCTGCATAGAAAGTCCAAGAGACTGAGATGACTAAGGTGGGCTGAGTTTTTTTCTGGTTCTGGCAGCCCTTTTGCGTCTACTTCCGCTGCCGCCCTTCGACCAGAAAAGACGAAGAGGGGCGGGGCCGCAGTTCGAGTTCTCTGGAGCCCTTACAGTCTTTTGGGACATTGGGGCTTAAGATGGCTTAAGGAATCTTCAGGAGCTAGCAGTTCTCAAGGTTTAGGTCCAGGGGTTCGCTAGGTGTTCTTGCGGCTCATGGTTTGCGTCTGTGCTCCTTCCAAACCTCGCGAGAAGTTTGATGAGCTTCGAACCCTCCCTATGGCTCGGAGAAACGGAGAGTCCCAGTGAATTCGCATCAGCCACTGCAGCGCTTTGCCAGGGCGCCAGGTGATGATGCCATGGCCGTACTGCGCAGACTAGCATTGCTGCACCTTGGGGCAAGAACTGGCGACAACTTCAGGTTTACCATTTACGGATGGCGGATTGTTCTTTGATACCCGGATGCTGCTCATGCACATTGCATGCAATATGTGTCAACGTACAATTATCCACCAGTAGACTTAGTATCGGATGCAGCCCCGAGCCACATCAATTGAATCTCGGCGTCGGTTTTTCGAACCCAGAAGAATCGGGAAACAGCCCATAGCATCTCATAAGCATTGCGTGGATGCATGAGGGGCCACGAAACTCGAAGGCCCCTTTAATGGACCCGAAGAGGGTGAGGGACCTTCGTGAGCTCCGGGCATGTCAGCGCTGAGGCAGTCCTGCCTGGGAGCAGCGCTCCACTGCAGCTCTGTGATTCGATGGCCGATGCCGTCCTGTGACTATCGGGTGCCCCCTCTGCTGGTGCTCTTGGCATATTTTGCCCAGCCATGGACCCTTGGCTGATGTGACAGGAAGCATTGGGTGTACCTTCGGAAATTGCGTTGAGTGTCAGTGTTCTGATTGACATCTTGTCCACGCATTGATGCTGCTCTACCGTAGTGTGATACTGTAGCAGTTGCATTCCTCTCTTCGCGGCTTGAGGATGAACTTCGCTTGCTTCCTGGCATTGCTGCGACCAGATGATCACAAGCTTGCGGGCGGACTCCTCACGGACAGCAAAGTTGAACTTTGAGGGTTAGGGTGCTGTTGGCTGCGCAGAGACTGAACATTGCAGCCACGGTAGGACCATCCTGCGAAGTCTCGAATCCACTCCTGCAGCAACGAGTCTGGAGGACACTGCGGTCATGACGGTCTTGATGGTCTTTCGCATCGCGATTTTCGGCCGGTATGGAAGGTGCATCGCCCGATGTGCCAAAGCCGGAATGCATGGCTCAAGGTGTGCCTGAATGCTTGAAGCATGAACTCGCGAATACAACATGCAGTCCTTCTTAGATGCTTCTACGTGGAAAGAACCTGTAAAGCTTCGACCACAGAAGAAGCGCTAGAACTTCCGTCAAACTTCTGCAAAAAATCACTCGAGTGGAAGTCCCGCCTCGAACAATCCCCGCGGAAATCTCATTATAATCCCTGTAAAATCCCTGTAAAATCCCTATAATCCCTTCTAATCCCTGTAATCCCTATAACCCCAATGATCCGAAGAATCCCGAGTATTCCAAACCCCGGCTCCAGGCCGCGGATGCCCAGAGAACCTCAGAGCTGGACGGGCCGCACTCGAGACGCCCTCCTCCTGGGATTCTTTGTGCTCGGCCTGGACCCCCCCGGGGGGTTTCGAATACTAGGGATTCTAGGGATCATATTGGGGTTGGGGATTACAGTGTAAAATTATAGGGATTATAATGAGGTTTGAGGGGCTAAGACTAGGAGGCTCCTTCCTTCGTCCATGCCCGAAGGATTTCTTGCTGCTGCGGAATGCTTGGATCGAGCGCCGGAGAAACTGGACGCCCGGCATCGAAGACTTCAGAGCACTTGCATCTTGAAGTCTTACTCGTAGGTTTCTCAGTTACGACCCAGCCGGGCGATCGGAGCCCTGCGCCCTGCACGGGCGGCCCAGGAAGTACGTCTTCTCGCTCGTGGTCTTGTTGGCGCCGCTTCCCTTTTGGCGGCAGCTGCTCAGTTTCTTCCGCGAGGATGAGAGCCCCAGGCCAAAGAATAAGAAGGCACGGGCAAGGGGAGGGGGGTTCAAAACTGAGAAGAGATACCCCCTAAATAGTAGGATCCTTATCATAAGGACCCCAACACAAGGTACCCCTAGTTTTCGGAGTTGAGCATCTTGGAGTGTCGGATGTGGGCGCCGGCGAAGCGTTTTATTCGGCGAGGGTTTCCACGTTTGCCAGGTGCGCCAAGGGGGCCGCCTGACACGGGAGGAGCAGTGGGATGGGGCAAAAGCGCGCAAGCAGCCTTCACACCAAGTTGTTGTCTACATTCATGCTAAAATGAGCACGTCATGAACGTACGCACGTGTTTAACATCATTAGTATTATTGTTATTATTGTGATTATTGGTTATTATTGTTATTATTGTTATTAAATATATTTGTTAGTTAGTATTATGATATGTATATATACACACACATCGCAATATCGTAGTCTGACGGGTTCAAGACATGAGATTCATGGGTTGTCCTTCATAAGAGCACTGCCGGCCCTTCGCCAGGACGTCCGCGCAGACATCTATGGCAAGATGCGGCCAGGGGTTCCCAAAGTTTCTGCAGCTCGGCAATCTTCTGATGTTCCATCACAAGCGTCCTGTCATCCCAGCTCCGAATCTGCGGGTCTCCCAGGACCTGCCCCCAGACGCCTCACAGAAGATCCGCGCTCGTCGGGCACAACAGCTTGCGGAGCTCCATCGTCGGGAAGAGGCCCCGGTTCATTCATGTGCCCAGTGCTTGCCGGAGCTGAGGAACTCAGAGATGAGTGCAAGTTCGGGCGCAAGGACTTGAGTTCAGATTCAGCTGGCGTTCGAGCCAAGAAGGGTCTCCAAACTTTCACAGATTCTGACAATGCTTTCTGCTTTCTGAGCAAGGATCCACGGCTCGGTCCCGAATGCTTTGCTTCACTAGGTGTCTGCTTGATCAGGACGTCGTCGTTATCTGTGAGGCAGTGAAACTGGAAGCTTTGTTTGTGTCTCCATCCCAGTTCCTAAGGTCCTTCCGGACATATTTGTCTATTCTTGTTACATAACTGCCTTTGCAAGACAGGCCTTTGCCGCCCCGGCGGAGCTGCCGGTCGCCGCTCTTCGGGCAGCCAAAGAAGCGCCTGCCAGGGCAGGCAGGGCCCAGGGCACGACTCGTCCAACGCGGAGAAGCCCTTGGGCCATTTTGCCAGGCGATGCGCACGCAGCCAGCCCGGCAGAAGGCTAGTGGTGCGGCAGCATGCGCTGAAAAGGACTCTGTGCTTCATTATGCCTGGTAAAGCTCAAGACGCCCATGAGACTCAGCAGAAGAGACCATGACAGTACCTTGCAGCCTTTTGCCGGCAAGGCTGGAAAGCAGCGCCTCTTGCATCTCAGGATCGTTCGGTTCAAGGCTTGATCCTACAAGATGTGCAGTGTCCACTCGCCATGGGCACTGCCACGCTTCCTGGTGATATCAAGGATCCAGAACGGAACCTCTTGGTGGCCCCGAGCGCAAGCAAAGATCGAGTGTGCCATGCACCGTCCGTCGAGCCCGGGGTAATCGGCGAGGCTGCAAGGGTTTTGGTCAGTAGACACAACTTCGGAAATGAGACAGTTTCAGTTTGCACCCGCCTAATGGCTTGCGTGTACTTATCTGTCGAGCCTTCAAGATTTTGTTGGACTCGGAGTTCTGAATTGAAGTGACCGGGCGCGTTGCGAAGGAAGCGCGCTATGGATAATCCACAGTGACGCAGATGGCAGACAAAGTGTTTCAGACCACATTCCCGAGGGAACTTGAGCCGAGCGGCTTGTTTCAGGGGTACTTCTATCCCTACATATTCTGATGGGGGGGCACATACTGGTTTTGCGACCACCAATCGACACTTGTTCTTGAAGAGCAGATCTGGGTCCTCAGCAACCGCACGCAGCCGAAGCTTCCGATTGCCACTTCAATGGACCTGGATACATGGCGACTCGCGACTGACACCGTGACGGCTCCCTTACACGAGCTGCGGACGAGAGCTTATGAGTCTACAAACAGAGTCCGCTCCGCTTCAGGTGCTTTGCTGTTTATCTTCACCTTCCCGCGACAGCCGAAAAGACTATCAGGCTCTATGAGTACTTCGACCAGCACAGAGGCAGCCCCTGCTTCAAGAGGTGGAGGCCAAGATCGGCGTCTGGCAGCTGGTGTGGACGAGACTTCAAGAGGAGAAATTTGAAAGCCAGATTCGCAAAGCTTTCGGTGCCTTGCTCCTTGTTTCATGTCTTCATGCCTCATGCCAGACAAGCAGCTGCAAGACTAGGAGAGCTTCGGCGAGTACCACGGCAGCACTTGCTTCAGGAGCTGGAAATTTCCGCGGCTCTTCCTTTTGAAATCCAGCGCTGGGCTCTGGGTGGTAAGAGGCGAGGCTGCAAAGGATTCCCAGAAAAAGCGCTTCGAGAAGGCAAGTGGCACTGTGGTGGACGAATTTCTGGAGCCTTCATCGTCTTAAACCACGTCCGCGATGAAGGGTCGGCGACATGTTCCTCACGCAAAGCTCGGATGCAACTTGGCGCGACGACAGCGGGCGTCGCTTCAAAAAGCCTGCCGAGACATCCTTCACCAGCTGGCTCAGCGAACTCAACGCTCAGCGGGGCCTATCTTTTTCAGATTTTGAAGGCGCCACTACCGGATCGTGGAGGTCTTCGGCTTCTTTGTGTCCAGGCCCTACTTCGGCATTTCCATTCTTGCTATCGCAGGAAAGTTTTGTAGAGCAGCCTTTCTTTTTGGAGAAGTTTGCGGCGACCTCGTGCCCTGCTTCACCTTCATCCCCTCAGCAGGGCTGCAAATCTCGAAGTCTTTCAATGGCTCCTTTTACGCATATTGAGACCTGTTGTCATGCATTCTGGTGACCAGCTTGCACTCAAGAATCCGTCGAGGATGCTGTTCAAGAAAAGCACAGTATGCTGGGGCGGGAGGGCTGTCGCTGCGGCGTAGCATCCGTTCAGTAAGAGATTGGGTTCTGGGACTGGCTGCTGTGCTTGACATCTGGTTACGGTTTTGGGATGAGGCGTGCGAGCTAGAGACAAGGTTCCAGAAAGTGAGTTTGCATGGAGCGCTGCCACCGCTGGTTTACCCCCTTTGGAGACCGGTTCCTTCACGCTTAGACTTTCGCTGTCGACATGCCGCCGACCTGTTAAGACGTTGCATGAGCTTGGAATTTCTCGGTCCTTCGCATGGCTTTCCATTTGATCTTCATTCCTCTGTGAATGCATTCTACCTAGGCCGCTTGAGATCGTTTGGTCTTGCCGTTGAGCCGTGCAGGCGCAATCGCACACGTTTCCTCCGTGCGTTTCGACCAGATTGAAAGCTTCCTTGCTCACGTGTTGCATTGCTGCGGCAATTCCACTGGATGCATGCAGCATCTCAGCCTTGCATAGATACAACCAGTGGGACTGTCAACGTGCGTGCTAGCTTGGCTTGCAGGGATCACGAAGCTGGAGCCATGAAATGGAGGTCTTGTGCAACATTGGGGTTCCAAATTGTTCAATTAAGACATTCAGAAACCCGAACGATGAAGCTCGCAGCACAGTAAAACAGTGGTCGGCTTTCCCGGTGATGAAACGGCAAGTTTGCCGGCCATGGTCGCTTTCACTGAAAGGACGCTGGAGCTAACTCGCACTGAGGCCGGGCTGACGCGCATCACGAAGAGCCCCTCAAAGGGAACCGGGAATCCCTGCTTGCACGAAGCTCCCTGCACTGAATCTCGTTAGTCTGGGTTTAAGCCCTTTGCCAATCTTGTTAGATCATCTGAAGCATCCGCGCTAAACGTAGACCAGTGCACTTGTGAATGAGCTCCTAGCCCCAAACCCGAAACCCTACTCCCTGACTCCCTAAGCTCTAAGCCCTCCCAAGCCTGAACCAGACCTTGGGCTCCGTGGCGGAGTGCGACGGCCGCAGCACCCGGCAAGGTTTGCAGCGGCGACTAGGGAGCCACGCCGTTTTGCACTTGCTTCTTCTTAAGAACCTTAGGGGTCTTAAGGAGGTTTTGGGGTTGGAGGGGGTTTCAGGGTTCAGGGTGGAGGGACGAGGATTACGATGGATCCTTATAGAAATGGCCAGCGGCTAGATGATTGAAAGCGGCTCGCGAAGCGAGCTTCACGAACGGGAGCTTAACGGGAGCCGTCCTTTAGGAGCAGCCCGGGGTCAGACATCACTGCCTTGTAAACTGATTTTGTTTGTGGCCGATTAGAAGTCCGCCGTCTTGCATCTCGCGTATTGTCTGAGTCTAGGCACGTCGCATTGATGCTACTATCCGGAGCTGTGTTCACCTAGAGGCTCCATAGTAGTTCCTTTTTCGAGTTCATTTTTAGAATCCTATAAGGTAATCCCAGAAAGGAACTACTATGGAGCCTATGGGTAAGTATAATGAGCCTAGTCTTCTCCGCATCTTCCCTGAGGAGCTTCCTGCTGCTGCACTGCGCAGCACTCCTGTCACAAATCCTTGCCATGGTGGACTTCATCATGACGGCGAATTACAATATGTGCCGTCGAAGCATGGGAGCTGGATAAATTTTACCCAGTATCCATCTATCTACCTACCTACCTTCGCATCTATCCATCCATCCATCTATCTAGCTATCTAACGATGGATCGACCTCTCTCTCTCCCTCCCCCCTGTTGCACAGGTTGTCTGCATAGTTCCTTGAACACTGTGTCAGCTAGTGGGATCTGTCTGCGACGGCAAGCAGACACGCACAGAGATTATCTCAGGATCTATGCCATGATGGCGCCACTGGTTCTCTCAGGCATGTGGGTCCTAGATTCAGCGAGTGCGTACGATGGGAAATTCCGTACCTCAGACCAGGGCTGAGCCTGGACCTGCGCAGGATTGTGGAATTGTGACTGATGAGGGTTCATCGGTTCATGTTGATGCCGCACAGCTGATTCTCCCTCGAAGGGAAAATGCCTCTGATGTCATCAGCTTGAAGCGAAGTGTCATCCACCCCCCCTGCATGTGTGGTACGATCCTTTATCTTGCAGCTGCCAAGCAAATTGAACCCTGGCCTTCTCCCGTTCGTGCCATGTCTGTTGTGGTCTCCAACCTGGCTGGCAGCGTGCTGGCCGAAATCAGTCCAGTTCCCACGTGTCTCGCGGAGCTGAACTTGCAAATTGAGAAGATCACCGGCATCCCTTCGACTCTGCAGAAGCTGGTTAAGGACGGCGAGGTGCTGACTTCTGCAGGTGACTTTCCAGAAGAGGCATTCGATGTGCTGTGTATCAGAGATGAGACACCTCTGTATTCCTGGGATGTGCAGGGCAATCCGGATTCCCATCACATTGAAGTAGAAGGGGCTGTTGTTCGGTGTCCCAACCTCCGCACCGACTATTGCAATGTCTTGACCAAAGAACCGATGCGGTCGGGGCTGCACTACTACGAGTTCGTGCTTCACAAGGTGGGTGACGAGCAGTGGTGTGGAGTCACAATGTCACCGGAGGTCGCAGGCTCCGACGTTGACGGAAGATCACTCAAAGCTTGGACCTACTATTGCGGCCGTGTTGGTCGGTCAGGCGGATCTATCCACAACGGCATGGGTGCGCTGCATGCTTATGGGAAAGCTGTGGTAGAGTTCGAGAAGGCGTGCACGCCTGGCAATGTCATTGGAATGTTGGTGGATGTTGATAAACGACTGCTGGCCTTTGCCCTGGACGGGCGGCTTCAAGGTGCCTGCCGGCTTGCAGGAGACGAACCTTTGTACGTTATGACTCACGTGGACACCCCCGAGGATCATGTGGAGTTACGGAAGCCATGCTTAGAAGAAGCGCCTCCTGAAAACCTCGAGGCGCTCAGTGGAGCGCTGCTGGATGCTGAGCAGGGCGAGTCTCTTCATTGGTAGGCACCTCCGAGCCGGGAGCCTGCTCCTGTCTGGAACTGGGAGGCCGCACAAATCGGCCCATTGTACAGCCAGCCTCAGGATCATGATCAAAAAGTAGCATCGAATGCCAGGACGCCCTTTATGGAGTGTTCCACGGCTGAAGAAGCCAGTCACGTCGGCCCTACACCCTGGCCTAAAGCCGGTAGACACCCTGCAGCTGCAACCAGACCCCAAACCCGAAACCCCCAAAGCCACCACCCGAAAGCATCCCTGAGCACTGAAAGCCTGAAAACCCACACGGAAGAACCCTGAGCCCCAAAAGCTGTTTGGGGCATCGAAAGCCCCCGGGAGGCTTGGTTTGCACGCACGCCGCCTGGACTGCTGAGCCGAGTCAGCTCTCCTGGGCCTGGGGTCTGCCCTTAAAGAGCCAACCTTGGTGGCTCAAGGAGCGCCAGTCAGAGGGTCCACAGGGGTTTGTGACTTCGGGGAGACTCCGGCTCCGATCCTACCGCAACGCTGAGTTCTGAATGTTTGCCAAGATGTAACCAACACTTAGGAGTGCTCTTCTTCTTAGGGTTCTCTGCTATATACTCATGGATCGTACTATACTATAACATGTCCCTGGCGACACTTGGCGACAAATGCCACTACCTCAAGCCCTCCCATGCCCTGTGTCCAGGCGATCCTGTGGATTCCAATGGGCCTCTTCCAGGTCGAATTTCAGAACACTTACGGTCGAGTATACATGGGAGTTTCCGAAAATTAGGGGTACCTTATTGTGGGGTCCTTATAGTAAGGATCCTACTATTTAGGGTACCATATTCGGGTCCCCTATTTTCGGAAACTCCCACATGATGAGGGTTTAGGGTTTAAGGTTTAGGGCCTTTAGGGAGTTGAAGCCGAATCTTAAGCAGTATGAACACGCAGTATAGAAGACATTTCTTAAAATGTTGTCCGATTCCATATCATAAGTAGTACAGTACTATAGTTACTGTAGTACTATAGCAGGACAGTACAGTATCAGGCCAAATTGTAATTACCAGGCAGGGTGATACTATAGTTATAGTATCGCAATATAGTAGAACTATATGGCACGTGTTAGTTATTGGGCAATACAGTGTGATGTAGTACTGAGGGAAGAAGATGATGAAAGCGAGAGAGGTGGCTGCTTAGGGACTTGGGTTTGGGATTTGAGGTCTAGGGGTCAGGGCTAAGGGCTTGCGGCCCTGCAGAAGCACCGACCCACGACGGTAGCAGTGGTGCACGCCAGTCTTGCTAAGCATCGAGAATGCGAAAAGAGGAAGAGACTTTACTTGGGCGGTGGCCAAAATTATGGTCCCTTTTGGGGTCCCTATTATAATACGGCACCTATTATTTAGGTACCCAAAAAGGACCTTAATTCGTCAGGGCGTGATCGTTCTGCTCGCATACGACGAGTATTTGGACCGCCAGGACGCTCTCGGATCCTAGAGGCAAAAGCAGCTTTGTTGAAGTGCATGTCGTGACAGTGCTGTCTGAGTGCTCCAACAGCTAGAGTCAGAGGAAGCGCAGTCTCCGCAAGCTGCTTTGCCTCACTGCTTGGCTATCGCCAGGAGCGCCAACAGCACGGGCAATCCCACCAACATCGCGAGACGTCGGCCTGGAACCGGTACCACTGTAAGGCCCGAGCGGTTGAGAAGTAGGGCTGGGTTGCTTCGTTTCCTTTTGAGGGAGACTCCACAGGTTTCGTTTGTATTGCCTGCTTGTATCCAGCTGAAGTTTGGTGGAGTCTCACCCTGACCTACGTAGACTCTCACTATGTCTCCCCCCCTCGTCTCGCTCTCACTCTGATAGAGTTACACACGCGGACTGGCGACATTTCCAATCTGGAAGGGGACAGAAGCTGCAGAAGTGCAGGGGTCATTCGCCTCCAGCAAGCACGACGAGAGTTGAGCCAGGCTGTGGCGGCTTTGTGCGAGGGGCTGCCGGCCATCACCGTCTTAGCCTGCGCCTGGTGGAGTTTGCTCCTCGATTGCTTCGATCTCGCAGCTCTTGGGATCTTGCAGTGATTCCGGACTAGTGCTGCTAGTACGACGCCGACGACTACCTTGTCGTTGCTGTCGTTTGCTTCGTTTTCTTGAAGTCTCAGGTTTGTGTGCTGGACAAGACTGTGCGAAACACTGGCATTTAAGCACGGTTATTGTGCCAAGGGCCGTTGCCCCGGCTGTGCCTGAAAGGAACTATCCACCCGAGCATCCGCTCATGAAGATGTCCTGGCACTTTGAGCGTCCCTTTCTGGGGACTCTGGGAATCCTATCTGAAAGTTGAGCCATGTCAGATCCCTCAATCTTGTAGACAAGAGCACGGCCCATTGGTGACAGGGTTCATCTATATCTCCTAAACACCCCAGACTGTTGTGCGCCGTCACTCGCACGGGGTGCCTAGGATGTCCCTCGAGCTTTCGGATTGCAAGATGGAGAGTTAGGGAGAGACGGCGACAGAGCGGAATCAGAGAACAGCAGGAGATGCCCTCTTCAACCGTGGCAATGGCCAACGTGGCAGTCAGCCCAACACTAATGGTGGGTGTCGAAACTTGGGCAAATCGTCAGAAGCTACTAGTTCCCAAGCAGTCAACCAAGAGAGAGAGAGAGAGAGAGAGAGAGATAGAGAGAGAAAAGAGTGAGCTGGGCGGGCCTAAGGCCTGAGGGTCGTGCGCGACCCCTACGCCCTGCAGAAGAAAGAAAAGAAAAGAGAGCCCTCATGATCGGACAACAATGCAATGTGGGGACTATATCGAAGTCGAAGGCATCCGTCGCCAGAGTCATAGAGCACAGGGTCCCAGGGAGTTGGTCTCTTCCATGCAAAGCTGCAGGCTACATCCTGAGACCCCCAGAAGCCCAGTGCTCTGTGCCCTGCCGTGTGCCCTCACTTCCCCAGCCCCCCCTCCTTCCTCACTCCCCAGCTCCCACCTCAAGCTACGCCGATCCCAACTCAGAGTTTTTCAAAGGGAGGGACTTAGTATGGAACCTTAGGCAGTACTTTCAGGAATCATCCTTTTCATCTCTGCCGGATCCGGCATGGTGGAGCTGGACTTTTGCTGCTCGGGCGCGGTGGCGCGAGAGATGCGCAAGTCGCTCAGGCAGGTTCGAGCCATACTGATAGTAGCAACAGTCATAATGCAGCAACGATACTGGCAACGATAATGGTGATGACCTCTATAACAGCAAGCAAACACACTAATTAAGTCAGAAGCAGAATAACAAGAAACCGCCATCATACAGGCGTAGTTTGCTTGCCAGTTGTATGCTGTACACATTTGCTTGACAACCCTTCGCATTGGATCCGGAGCCTCAACAACTGACGAGGAACAGAGGGGGTGCATGTCGAGCGACACGTGAAAGGACCATAAGCCTCGAGCACACTACCTGTGCACTTAAAGAGGTACGAGATGCTCCACTTGCTCTTTCGCTTCTGTCCCTTGGCAAAGCTTGGCTTCGTTTGTGCAGCAAGTAAGACCTGGACTAGATAGAGCGAGCAATTTGTGTCGCAAGGGGGGTATCATACTGGCAGACCACTGATACCGTAGCATAGTAGTTTTAGGGGCCGCGCCCATGGCAGGCAACGCAGATGGTGTTGCTGGAAGGGTTGAAAACTTACAACTCCTCTTTTTTCTTGCCTGCTGAGCCTGACGGGGTAGACTGGAGCCCTGCCACTACACATGCCTAGGAGCAAGTCTTCCTGCTGATGTGAGATGGGCCCTGTAAGGGTGCACATCGTAGTGGGTGCTATGCTGAAAGCGTGTCTGCCAACGGCTTCAAGGCGCAAAGGCACTCCGTGCAAACCAACAATGATCGACTCGTGTCCATCTCCCAAGAAGAGGTGTGGAGTCTGAAGCCCTCAATCTCTTGGCCACAGTTGTTCTGTTTTGCTCGGGGGAGAGTTAGGCAGTAACCCGAAGCCCCGCATTGAACTGCTGCGGCACCGGAAGCGAAGCTTGGAGCACACGGCGCGGGGGGCTCGCTGCATGAAAAAACCACTCGCGTGAAGACCGCATCCAGCGATAGTTCAATCAGGACATGTGCGGGTGTGTTTGTACACATGTATATACGCGTGTTTGCATTCAAGTAACTTTCATATTTTCCAGAGAATACTTATAGCCGCCGAAGATGGTGGAACAGAGACCTAAGGTGAGGTTCTGAGTCGAACAGCCCACTCCTCAGTTCCAGCCAATGTATGTCTAGGCCATGTACTGGCACGAAGGCTTTAGGTTTCAAAATTCAGCGTTCAAAGGGCTTTGCGGTCGGTCTGTAAGGTTTCCGAAGTTTCAGGTGATGATGGTGGCCTTTGTTGTGACCACTCGCCATTTGGTCTCTTGGTGGTGGTGCCCGGCAGCATCCAACATCATCTTCACGTACCTTCTCGTGCCTTTGCCACGCAATGGCATCTTTTTCTTCAGAGGGTTCTGGTCCGGCCGGTTGATACAGCAGCAGATGGGCCAGGTAGCAGAAGCGAATGAAACGGCACAGGCCTCCCACTGAGTTCTTGCTTGGAACAGGTGCTTTACCATGGAGGTGACGAATGCCGATCATCTGTACGACTGCTCTGCAGTATACCCTGCGCATGGGTCACACGGCTGAGTATCAGTGCACAAGATGTGAAGGCATCACTGTCTATCCGAGCCTCGCTTGTTTGCTTTTACACCTGTAGCTATCTCTGAGGTCAATCTGTTCTTCTTTGTGGACTCGCCGTACAAGCGGCGAGCAGCACGGAAGATCTCCAGGTGGGCTTTATCTTTTCTGCTGCCACTGCTACTGCCACCACTACTACTACTACTACTACTACTACTACTACTACTACTACTACTACTAGCCACCCCCACCCCCTACCAACTACACTTGTTCCATCCGGGCTGGGCAGCGGTAGCTGCTAGGCTCCTTAACTGCGACAGTTGCAGAAGATGCACGGGCTCAAGCTCCCTATCTGCGACAGCTGCAGAAGTTGCAGAGGCTCAGTTTCCTTAACTGTCACAGCCGGTGAAGTTGTAAGGGCTCAGGCCCCAAAACTGCGACAGCAGCCGGAGTTGCAAGCTCGACGGGGAAGAAACTGCTAAACCGCAGGTGGTCGGATAGTACGAAAACGCTGTAAATACCGTGCAAAACCCAGGTGCTGCCAAGAAGGGTTTCACATTTCTAAAACCTGAAGCGCAACATCTTCTAAACATCCAAAACAAAGATGCCAGCTGTACGTGGGAGGGGCTCGCCAACACCCCTACCGTCCAAACTCGGCGTAGGAGGGTCTGCTTTTGAAGTGGTGTGTGTGGTGTGTGCGCGCTTGAGTGTGGAAATATTGTTCAGGGTGTCCGCAAAACAGTGTCGTAATCATCCCCGAAGAAGCTTTCCCCCACCCAATTTCGAGTTGTTTTGCAAACAGTTCGAAACAACAAAGTTTAATACACATAGTCGAGAAGTAGGGGCCCAGAATATGTAACAAAGTCCGACATCACGAAAGTACTGTAAATACCGAGTAAAACGGCTCTTGTGATGCTGTTGGGTGTGTTCGCGTAACACTGTCGTCATCATCCTCCCCCCACCCCCGACCCCCGCCCAGAAGCAAGCCCAAAATCAAGAGCCCGAGTTTGCAAACTCGACAAGTCGATTTTGAAGCCCCTTATGATGATCGCACATGAGGAAGGTGCCGTAAATACCGAGTAAAATGGATGTTGTCTTAACATGGTTAAGAGCAAGTGTAGTTGGTAGGGGGTGGGGGGGCCTACTACTACTACTACTACTACCACTACTACTGCTGCTACTGCTCCGGCTCCCGCTCCTGCTCCTATACTCCTACTCCTCCTACTCCTACTTCATTTCTACACTACCACTACTACGACGACGACGACTACTACTACTACTACTATTACTACTACTATCACTGCTACTACTACTACTACTGCTACTACTACTGCCACCGCTACTGCTACTGCTACTGCTACTGCTGCTGCTGCTACTACTACTACTACTACTGCTACTGCTACTACTACTACTACTACTACTACTACTACTACCACTACTACTACTACTACTACTACTACTACTACTACTACTACTACTACTACTACTACTACTAATACCACTACTGCTACTACGACTACAACTACTACTAGCCACCGCCCCCCTACGAACCACCTGTCGCTTAAACAGTACAAAGGAAACCTTACCCATTAAGAGCGACCATCAGAGGGCCGAAGCAAGTAAGTGTATGCAGGGAGACGGACCAGGCGTACACCGCAGAAGCTGTAGAATACGCAAGGAACAAACGAACACACGTCATTGTCACGTCATCATCGACATCATCGCGTTGGCGCTTCCAGTTCTTCTTGGCCATGGCTGACTCACATGCTCTAAGCGTATGCTGGAATGGCCGCAAAATAACTGTTTGGGGCTGCCATGTTTGTCACTGTCCCCCTCCCCCTACAGTGTTAAGGAGAGGTGGTTGGTAGGGGGTGGCGCCTCCTACAACAACAACAACTACTACTACTACTACTACCACTACTACTACTACTACTACTACTACTACTACTACTACTACTACTACTACTACTACTGCTACTACTACTACTACTACTACTTCTACTACTAGTCATAATAATAACAGAATGATGACTACTGCTGCTACCACTTCTGCTACTGCTATCAGTGCTACCAGCGCTGCCGAGTACATCTGCATGAGGTAGAGATGTCCTGCAGGTGGTTGGACATCAAGTTTCTCCTGGAGGTTATCATTCTGCCCCTCCTCGTGGTTTCGGCAGCTGCTGCAGCCGGGGACCGGGCATGGAAGGACATGAAGAACAACGTCTACATGCACAGCTTTATGCCCCTTGCTGCGATCCGGACCGCCACCCTGTCAGACCCTGCCGTGATCATCACCATCGTCATCGTCACACTCACCATCATCATCATCGCAGCCATCACCAGAACAATGACCAGTACCAACACCGCCTTCAGCACCCAGTGTCTGAAACATTCTGAAACATAGCATCGTTTTCACTTCTTCGGGAGCCTTCTCTGCGCCCCCTGTGTCTGCAAGGTTTTCGAGCAGCTTGGTGGCACCCGGAGCTCGTTTCAACATCTCCGCACTTCCGAGATGCAAGGGTCAACTTCTTGTCTGCGACATCATCATGTGACTCCGAGTATCTCAAGTCTGTGCAGGTATGGCAGCTTGCCTCTGTGGCTACTTCTGCTTGTGGGTGTGGCTGCAATGCACCATCGTCCGACAGTTTCCTGGATCCAACGGACTCTGTGCTTTTGTGACGCTGGTCATTCAACGGTCACGAGCCGAGGATCAATCTGATCGACATCTACACTGCGGCAGAGAATGGTAACACCCAAGAAGTGAAGGACTGCGGGAACGTACGTATCGCCCGGTGCTCGCATCAACAATGATTGCGTTCGCCGTTGTCGTCGGGGCTATAGCATTGGGGACAGCGGTGCGGCAGCAGTAGCCGCAGTGGCAGTTTTCAAAGCAGAAGGTATCACTAGTATAATGATGACATGAGCCTTATTTGTGCCAGCAGTATCCGTCTGTAAGTAGCTAGATTCTGAGAAGCAGATGGCACCCGTCATAGGAATGAGAAGTATCATGATAGATAGCACGTTGAAGGATCTCAGTTGTTGTCGTCTGCGCTTCCAAGCAACATCAGGAAGGAGCAAGAGCCACGCCATCCGCCACACTTCTGGTCTTGGCAGTCTTGGCAGGATGTTATGGAGAAGCTGGTGGAAGAGCTGAAGGAGTTGACCCGCAACGTGGCGAACGACATTGAAGCAGTACTGTAGGTTGAAGCTCGGAAGAGCTGAGTTGGCAGAGGGCACGGGCAGAGAGCTTAGGGTGCCGTGTAGTCCACCTGAACAAGGCAGCGCTTCAGCCGACATCGACGTGAACAGGTCGGGGGGCGTATGCAACAAGAGAGGTTTGAGCGCGGAAAAGGCATGAGCAGTCAGCACAGGCCCGATGTGGATGGCAACACTCCCTTGATGCTGGCAACGCGCCAGGGGCATGCGGAGGCAGCCTTCCGTCAAAGACTTCCTAGCCGATACAGCTCTTGCTTTGCTGAGCCAGCACATGCACATAGTGAAAGTGTCCTGGACACGCAGCGCCCTGCATGACCTTGGCTAATTATAGGAACCAAGGGGGCACCCATGTCTTTCACAGACGCCAAGACTCCAGGACAAATGATTTTGAAGGGAGCCCCAAATTGAGATCACCTGCTGAGTCCTCCCGGTAGCTGGCAGGTCTGTGAATGCCTTCTTCAAGCTGGTGCTTTGGTGAGTACCAGGCGATGCGTCTGGGGCTGTAGAATTAAGGGGCTTTGGGTTCAGAATTGGTGTGGAGGTTAGGTGGCGGTTGGGAGAATCTCCGAGGCAGAGGACATCATCGCGCTTCTGATAGGGGGAGGAGGGGAGGGATGTTCTGTGATCGTGCTAGCTGCGATTTTGTCATGCTCCTTGTCATCGTCGGAACGTTCCTTGGCATGCTGTTTTTGACCGTCACTTGTCCGCAAGCAGCGCGACTGCCTGCACACTTCCCAAGGGTTTCTTCCCTGTTTCTCGCCTCACGATTGCTGCCGGAACCACACCGCATCGCAAGGGGCACGCTAGAGGAGCGTCCACCAACCGAACCATGATGATACTCTCATAGAAACCTCATGCAGATCCATATGGTGCTATTGCCATAGACTCAGGGCGAACGGGATCATTCGTTGCACCAGCCACCAGCCCAAAGATCCGCCCAAAGAAACCGTCGTCCCCATTCCGGGCAGGACTATCACTGTCGGCAGCACCTGAGTACCAGTGCCCAGGCCCCAGAACCGCAAACGCCCAAACCCAAAGCCTCGAAATCCTGGACACCCTGAAGCCCACAAGTCAAGCCATAATCCTATAAATGCCCAACCCCAGAGGCCCTAAAGCCTAAACCGATAGTGCCAGGCATTCTGGAAAGCGGTCCCATCCACGGAACTTCTTCACTCGTCCTGCCCAGCGGGGGTGGACCGCGCTGCACGTGGCTGCATGGCAGGGCGAGGCTGGGACGGAGAATGCTCCATTGAATACAGTTGAAGGGAGCCTAAGCCGCGTGGGGAGCCCCAATGCCAAAAAGTCCGGGTTGGGGGGCTACATTATGCTTTTTGGAGTGTGGCTGTGGCAGAGATGGTTTTCCTGTTCTGGGCCAGAAGATGGATGACTGGCAGAGATGGAACAACAGCTAAAGCTAGCAGATGCAAGTGGGAGGATTTTTCGCCATCCCTGTGCATTCTGCATGAGAGCCCAGCATAGAGTCTGCGAGGAAACGGTGGGACGTCACCAGTCTTGGAGCAAAAACACGGCAATTGGGAGACAAAGCCTGGACAGGGTGGCAGACAGGAGTGCAGGCACTGTGAAGGAGCCAGGAATCAGTTGCAAAAATCACAGCCAGTACCGGCCAGGGATCATGTAAAGGCAGCGAACAAGAAGCAAGTGATGGAAGCAGCAATACTGTATCTGTCATGTCAAGTGGGGCGACATAGGGACTGGCTAGCAGCGAGCAAATACCAACGTTGTCCTCGCTGCAGACTTTGCACTTCCTGTTTCCTTATCTCAAGACCCCTGCCGTGGTGTATCAAGATACATAATGGTTCCACAGCCGACGTGTTGAAGGCTTCAATGATTACCTCAATGATGATGATGATGATGATGATGATGTGCGTGGCGGTATACTGCCGGGGTGTAGCACGAATGCATCTTTGATGTTTGCGACCAGCGCAAGTGCGCGGTCCTTGGGCACAGGATCGCGTGGTCCGAGCTTTGCTGGAAGGCGGGGCCTTGGAAGAGGCGCGGGCAAAGGGGTGTCTTGCGTTTTGAGGTTGATGCTTAAAGTTTGAGACGAGGGCGGCACTTCCACATGATTGCTCAAAGGCCAGTAAAACCTGATGAGCAAACGCCGGAAAGAACTGGCCGATGCCCACCTCAGGAAGGTGTTGACTATGTGGACCTTTATGGCGAAACGCCTTTGCATGTGGCCACGCGCTATGGGAACCTGGAGGCGGGGGACTGATTTCCATGTCGAAAACGAGGTTGTTGGTTGGGAGACTGGTGTCGCAACTATCACCGCCATCATCTTCACCACCATCTTCATCGTCATGAGTGTGATCATGGTCATGACAGTTGCTGTGGGCATGACCATGGTCATCACCATCACCACCAGCATCATCATCATCATGACGACTCGCCTTCCTCGTGAACCTGGGATTGAACGGTCTACCTGATCGTTTGAAGAGAAAGATCCAACCCGTGCATGTCCAAAGACGCATTCCAACCGCTTTGATTCACCTGCACTTGCTTGAAAGATGAAGCCTGCCACCACCACCACCACCGCCACCATGTCAGATTGCACATCATGGTGAAAATGCAGACTGCGGTGTTTTGTAGGCCGCCCGGCTGTTGGCGTTGGCATGTCCGAGATGGACGGCGACCTTGGACTTTCGGGGGAAGAGGCCGCATTGCCTGCAGGAAGAAGCTGTCAGGGACCGTTGGATTAGTGATTAGTGAGAGTACCAAAGTTAAGGTAAGGCCCTCCTCGGCTTTCTATTCCTGTTGGAGGCTGTGAATCCGACACTCAGGTCAGAGGTTGTGTGCCCTAGAGCAGCCGGACCACGCTTCAAAAGAGTGAGATGTGGTTCTTTGCCGTCTGCTTCTTGAGCCCCCAAAGCTGCCCCCAAAACCCGACACTCCCGAATCGCCCCGAAGAACCTCCAGCTGAGGCCCTGCGATCTGGCTCGATCTGAGGGCCTCCGCATGTCCTTGGCGCAAAGTTGGGACTCCTGGGACCCCCTACAGTTCCAGGCGCTCGGTTTGGGGTCTTCTGCTCTGGGATGCCAGCCCCCAGTCCGAGGTGTCTCTCTGTCTGCGTCTGTCTCTGTGTGTGTGTGTTTAGGACTGTGGGTTGAAGACATTTTATGTCGTCTATCACGGTCTGTACAGTGTAAAGTCTCCGCCTTGGCAGGCCCAGGCGCAGGCAGCAGCAGAGGAGCTGAACTTGCCCGCCTGGAGGAACCCACCACGTCGACCGAACGACGCTTTGCTGACATGGATGGCCCGAAACCATGAAGTACAGAGTTCGGAGTTTTGGTAGGTGGTTTACTCTGTTAGTGACGCATGTGGCGACTTCGGGTTTAGGAAGTTCTGTCTTTCTCATGCCAAGAGTGTTGTTCAATTTTGAAGACGCTCGTGATTCCAATCGCACTGATATGACTGTAAGCTACGAGCCAAGATCACATAGTAAAGGCGCGACGTCGTGGAACCCGACACTTCAACAGCTCCCGGTTTAGGATTTAGTAAACCCTTGAAACCCTTTTCGGAAAGCGGGCTCCACCAGCTCAGGGCCAAGAAGATTGGTGCTCCGTGCCACTACACATCTCGAGGACTGCAGTGGCCCGCTGATCCTAATCTGTGTTCAATTATCCCAGCAAGAAAGCGACTAGTTGTAGTTGTAGTTGTTGCCCACTTGTTTCACCAATCAATGGTGGCCCTAAGCACCGTAGACTTGCTTTGGAGGTCCGTCGAACATCCATAGACTCACAAAGAGCGATGACAGTCAGACGGCCAGGAACAAGGAGCTGCTAGTGGCGCCAGGCTTATGTACTTTGGCTGCACTTGGGAGTTTCCGAAAATTAGTGATACCCTTTTTTGGCGTCCTTATAATAAGGATCCTATATACTATTTAGGGTACCATATTAGGGTCCCCTATTTTCGGAAACTCCCACTTCGTGCTGAGAATTTCCACTCGCAGGCATCGGCTGTGCTTTCGTTTCGCACAAGGATGCCACGCAGCCGCGCTGCAATGCAAGAGCCTTGCCCTTCCAAGGCTCGTATATCGCAGCGAGCTGCGGCGGGGCCCTGGGGCGGCTTTGCCTCACAAAACCAGAGGCCACGGATGCTTTCCATGTTTAGCCAGCAGTTGCCTTCCCCTGCCTTGGAGGTCCGAGAAGTCCAGAACCAACCCGAAGAAGAGCGGCTGAAACTGGAGGACCCGGCTCGTGTGAATATGTTTGCGTGAAGACCGCTGCATGCAAACCACGCAGCTACCGTTCCGAGTTTTGCGGGGTTTGTGGGGGTGTGCAGTCTGTCGGAGATTCCGCCTCCAGCCTGTAACCGTCAGGACCTGGTGCAGATTGATCCCTTCGGCCGCGAGGCATCTCGGGTTTCGGAGAAGGTCGCCATACATCTGGGTGGTTGTCAAAATTAGGGTCCCTTCTTGGGTACCCTAAATATTAGGTGCCGTACTATATGACCCAAAAGGAAGCCTAATTGTGACAACCACACATCTCGAGAGTTGCCCTTTCTTGGTCCACTGGGTGCCGTCACATTCATGCAAGCTCATCCTAAACCCTCGATCCTAGGTCCTCAGCCGTGTTAATGTTGTTCAACCCAAACCCGAAGTGACCCGGAAAGCAGCACAAGAATAGTAATGATGACAGTACTGGATTAAATTTGATGGAGTAATTTCAGCAAGGTGTATGCAGAGACAAGTAGGTTGTTGTTCATCACCATCGTCATTGCAAGAGTATTGCCCAAGTAGCAATAGTAGCATTGGTTGATTCTTGGAATTCTACAAACGTTCACAGAAGGGGTAGTCTTAATAAGATTGACACTAGTATCAACGTTGTCTTTGTAGTGGTTGTGGTTGCGGCTGTGATTGTTGTTGTTGTTGCTGTTGTTGCGCTGCTGCTGCTGCTGCTGGTGGTGGTGGTGCTGCTGCTGGTGTTGCTGCTGCTGCTGCTGGCGGTGGCGGCGGTGGCCGCGGCGGCGGTGGTGGTTTCGGTCTTGGTCTTGGTGTTGTTGTTGGTGTTGTTGTTGTTGGCTCGTTTGCTGCTGCTGCTGCTGCTGCTGGTGATGGTGGTGGTGGTGGTGGTGGTGGTGGTGGTGGTGGTGGTGGTGGCCTCTTGTGGTGGTGCTGTTGCTGTTGTTGATGCTGTCGTCGCTGCTGCTGTTGTTGATCTCGTTAGGTGTACGGGTTCTCCTTTCTTGTTGTCGTCACCTTCTTGACTATCAGTATTGTTCAGGTTCATATTTACAACCATCTTGGCATTAGTATAGAGTATTGTAAATCTGTAGCGGCATGCTATTCATAAAAATGTCAGTATGAGTGCTCTTTCTCGTAACGGCACTATGCATAACAAGAAAACAAGCAAAGATGATGGACAAGTGCTTCTTCGGCCCTCTCTTCCGTGGAGGTGTGTTACTTCGGCCGTGAGCTAAGCCCATGGCAGAATGCTCCCGCGCTGATCGGCGAGGGCCGCTTCGGGGAAGTCATGGCCTGAGAGGCTCCTCCCTATCATCACGGCGAAACTGCATGGCGAATGCTGTTCTCAATGCTCTGGTGTCAGTAGTTGAGTAGTGTCATCTTTATGTTTGAGAATGTTGAGAGTAGGGAAAGAAGCAAAACGAGTTGCCCAGGTCTTCCGCGCGAAGCATCGGCAGAGTGGCTCATGGTACGCGGTTAAGGTGCCTTGTCAAAGAGCTGGTTGCCTGTTCCCAAGGGTTCTCGAGCTCAGCCAGTTCCATGAGGTCAGTCCAGTTTCCTGGAGTGGGATTTATTTGGAGAAGGCAGTGACATGGCTGGCCCGCTTCGTTTTGAGGGTCGGCCTCGCGAGACGACTTGCTAGTTGCAGGGACCGTCGGCACACTAACATATCACACACACACACACACACACACACACTTTTTCTCAAAGGATATTTGCATGCGTGGTTGGCAACGATTCAGGATGATGTCGATGATGATGTTGATGATGACAATCAGCATGAATATGAGAGGAGGTGTTGGTCCCAAGCATGCCAGACACAAATGAAACAGACATGGCAAGAAAACCAAGCTGCCCTCGCTGTGTGAGACCCAAGTGAATCGAAGAAGTCCCGCAGTCCAAGTGTCGTCATGCGCCAGCAGCCTGTACCATGAAGCAGAGAAAACCGAAACTGAAAATCTTAATCGCTGCTTAATAGTCATTGCGAGAACCGTTATCAGAAAGACGCTGATAATTGTTGCAGCCCACCCGAGGTTTTCAAGACACAACAGCGGCCTGTCGCTCCGGAGGTGGTAAGAGAGTGCGAGGCGCTGCTGGATTTCCGAGCATTCCCGCTCTGATTCAGAGTTCCAGGGTTTCTCAGTGACGTCTGTGTTGGTTCTCTGCATATGATGCAGTCCAGCGAGCGTGGTCGCAGGTGGGGACGCATGTCCGTCAGACTCCGCATCCCTGCATCGTTCGTCTCCACATGGTGAACCTGGACGACGTAGGACTGCCACTGAGAGGCGAACTGTCCGACATGCCCCGAAGTTGCACGGAAAGTGAAGTAGTGCCGTAGTAACCCTAAACTGCCCTAAACCCCTAAACCCACAGAGGACTCTACACTCTTGTGATGGAGTTCTGCCATACAAATCTCCTGCAGCAGCTTCGTCAAGCCAAGCGGGGACGCGGAGCGGCTTTTAGGCTGGGACCAGGACCCTAAAAAAAAAGGGGGCCTTATTAATTCGAATCGGGTTTTAGGGGTCCTTATTATAATGATAGATAGTATAATATCCCCCCAAACCCTTTTCGAATTACTAAGGCCCTTGCATTAACGCGAAGAAGCTGAGCTTTCAGTGAGGCTTTCTTTTTGGATAAGCGCTGCCACGTCGGCACAGGCCTCCGTCACAGACTCTCGACTGGGTGGGTCAGATCTTCCTCGGCCTGGAGCACATGCATCACAGGCGCAGCACGAGCAAAGTGCTCAATTGCTCCCGAGTCCGGGAGACCCAAACATCCCCTCATAGTCGCTTTCTGCTCACCTTGCATACCATAAGAATCATAAGAGCGGCACTATATATTTTCATGCAAGAGCGGTCAGGCTCAACACCATGTTCCGGGACTTGAAGCCGGTTGCGTGGCTGAAGTGCTCGGGTGGTGGGCTCTCCGTCCTAGTGAACCATCCCGGGAACAGGAAACTCTAAATAAACCCTACACTCTAAATCCCTAAACCCTATCTGGTGTTCGGAGTGTGGGAAAGGTTTCAGTGCCGCCGAAACTGGAAGTCCTCCTCCCTCGCCCTCATGAACTCGATGCCAAGCCATACAGTTTTGGGCAGATGGTCAACCCGAATGGGCCGAATCATAATGCCGCAGTTCAGAACCCCCTCAGCCGGACAAGTCCTCCTCCCAGGAAAACGTAGTCTTGGACGGCCAACTCTGCTGCAAGCTCGCCGACTTCGGTGCTGGACGTTTGGGCCCGTCTTCTGGGACGTTCTCCTTTGGGCATCCGGCAGGCTCGCTGCGGGCTGTGGGCGTCCTTCATGGGTTTCCATACCATCTATGATATCTAGCATCTGCTACGGTGGACATCACCAGCATCATTATCATCATCAAGCGTGAGCATGATTGTCACAAACATCATCATTGCCATCAATGCCACACCAAACACTGTTTGGTGCCCTGTGATTCTTCCGGGAGTTGCGCATGCGCGCATGTCCTTGCAAGGTAGCCCTGGCTACATTGCGCCTGAGGTCCTTGGCCTGATCCTGAGCTTTCTCAAGTCCCGAAACCCAAATTCCAAGACCAGCTGGGTTAAGAATGCACAGGGCAAGATGTTGGAGAAGTCCTTCAAGTCCAGCTTCATATGCCTAGGCGGGATGCCACACGATGAGGGTGCTGACCTCTACTCGCTGGGAGTGCCTCGGCCATGGCTTGGGCATGCGCTGCTCTCGCGTTTGCATGTTGTCTAGTTTGATCTATAGTGTCCCAAAAATCTGTGTTCATTATGGTTCTTAAGGGGGGGGGTATAGCTATGTCCCGGAAAAGCTCGGGCGTTGCAAGGTGCTGGCGTGGCTGCTTTTCACTGGCGGGATGCCAAACGAGGCCTCCTGAAGCTCCCCAGAATCCCAAATTCAAGGTGTAGGGCGGGTTCAGGGCGAAAGGAGCTTGAGGGAAGGGTTTGCAGGGGGTTTTGCTGCAGGGTTCAGAGGGTGCAGAGCTTCGATCTCTGGAAGGTGCCACCCATGGCGGGCCGAGCCGAGTGGCAGGTGCGCTGCATGCTGCTATCATTTTGTTCGATCCGAGCTGTGATTTAAGCCTCACTCAATCACGAGGTGCGATCGGATATAGAGGACAAGACAGTGCTGAGAGCTCCTGCTCCCTCCTCTCTCCCTCAGTCTTGCCCCATGTTTGTCAGAGCGCAGAGGCACACCTCTATGACTGGACACTGTTGGACCGCTGCATTCGCGACAACTTTCCTCCATTCCAAGGCGGCGGTCGGTAGTTGATTTGGTGCCCTGGGCCTGGCAGAGAGAAGTTCTTGGGAGACCCTCAGCGACTCTAAACCCCTTGGGCACTTCTCGGGATCTGCTCGGATACCGATGCTGGGGGCCAGGAATGGAGTCGGCTGGGCCAGACCAGGCCAGTGAGGCCGGGGAAAGCTGGGCCTGGCTATGCTTTATGCCTGATTGAGGGTTGCAAGCGTAGAGTTGCCGGTCGATTGTGCGGCAGCCTGTTCAGACAGCAAGACCGATGCCAGCATGGCATGTACGCTGTGACGCGGTCTAGGATGACGTCACTGACACTATTTCATGTCCCATCGCATGTTGCTGTACTGTGATCTCCTACACACTACACGCTTCTTCTTCGAGAGACATTTGGGGACATTGACACGGGGGTGTTGCTGCATATTCTTGCCCGCAGCTGCGGCCCAGCATAAAGGAAACCCTCTGTAGCTGGTGCATTCATGGGGCAATGGGGCCATTTCATGCCGGCGATGCTTAGCCGGACAGTTTGTTTTTTCCTTGTGACCTTTACCCTCGCTTCAAGCTCTTGTTCAGCAGCGCTGGATGAGAGCCTGGATGGCATATCTGTGAACATGGTCCAGGTTCGGGCTGAGAACGTCTTGGACTCCCACCGCAAGAATAGATCAGTGGAGACGCACTGGCCATACTGGTATCTTGTGGGTACCAACCACAAGACAGGAACCGGGCTTCTTAGATCCTTGGTGGGACGAGTGTTCCTTGTGCTCGGGGCCACCTACTCCTGCCAAGTGTCGCCCCCGGCCGGTCCTTGGGGTCAACTCACCACCGACGGAATCCACAACTGCAGCGACTCCCAGGATGCGCACATCCGCTTCGCCAAGGACCTCGCACCCAACGACCTTAGGACGGTCCGGCATCTCGCCGCGTCTGCTGGTGGGGAGATGCGTGCCGTGATGACGATCCGGGATCCTGCCACCATGTTGGCATCTGCATACTGCTATCACCACCGTGGCATGGAGTACGGCTTGCAGCCTGCTCCTGATCGGAAGCCTTGGCCATGGCCTGGTATCATGTCGATGGGTCCTGCTGAGGGAATGGAGGCCCTCTCAGATGGAATGTTCGCAGTGATCGAAAACATGGCAGAAGCAGCGGAGATCGCTGATGTCGATGACACGCTGGTCCTACGTTTTGAAGATATCACACGGTCCTCGGAGGACTTCGACCGTTCTACAGCAGCAATCGTAGACTTCTTCTTTCAGGACTTCTTCTTGCAGGGGGTGATCCCTGCCGAGTTACGCAGCCAAATGCTGCTGGAGGCTCAAAAAGCGGACCTGCACCGGACGAGTGTGGACGAAGGTACGCCAGGTGAAGCGCCTCACTCTAACGATAAAGACTGCGAGGAGGCAGCGATGACGACGTTGCCATCGCTTTCAGCCGTGTATGCTCAGATCCAGGACGCAGAAGCCATGTTGACGAGTCCCCCTGCTTGCATGGGTGGTTGTCAATATTATGGCCCCTTTTGGGGTACCCTAAACAATAGGTGCCGAATTATAATAGGGACCCAAAAAGGGATCCTAATTTTGACAACCACCCGCATGACTCCGTAACTGCCTAAACGCTCCCAGTGTATGTGCATGATTGTCGCTAGCTGGTAGCAATCTCTTGTCGTCACTTGTCGGGCCTCGTTCTCTCAGGAGTACCAGCGCCGCTTGGGGTACCTGGGAGCTTTCTGAGGATTGATTCGCAGCCACTTTTGAAATGCCGGTTGGCGAGGACAAATGTCCATGTGTGTACAGCCCATCCGAGCTTCGAACCCCTTTCAAGTTTCAAAAAGGCGACACGGTCAGTGCCAGCTCACAGAACATGCTCGTCTACTTGCAGATGTCATGAGCCACCTGCCTTAGCCTTCAGGCGCGGCAATTCGTGGACTTACTCATCAAGCCCCCGACAGCCCGCATGAGGCACTTGTAGCACATCCCACAGTATTGAGGCATTATCTCGAGCGGTTCACCAGTCAAGAAGACTAGGCCGTTTCTCTCCATCGCAATCTTGGTGATGTCAGGCACGGGCAGATTCGGCACCACCCGCTGCTCCTGCCGCATCTTGGCAACATGAAGATGTCGGACCAAGCCCTGCCCTTTCGCATGATGCCACCGCCTGTTGCACTCTGTTTTGCATACGATTCGTCTATGCTGCCGACGCCTGCAACCTGGCTGGCGGCAGCTGCTGCACCTGCTGATGATGGTGATGATTCAGGTGATGGTCGCACTGCCGCTGCTGCTGCCGTTGCTGCTGCTATGGTGGTTGTGGCGGTGGTGGTGGTCCTGGGAGATGACGATGGTGATGATGGTGATCATCGCAATGATATGGGTGCAGATTTCCAGGAGGTCGTGCCGAAAGATGCAAGCGGTGACAGGATGTGACAGTGATGATATGATGATATTGCCATCGATGTCGATGGTCCTGGTGATGAGATGGTACTGGTATGTACCTGGTGCTGATGATGCAGATACTGGTGATGAAGACGGCAGCAGTGATGATCGCGGCGGCAGGTGGCGATGTAAGTGGCAGGGGACTTGAAATCTACCTGAGAGTTTAGATCGGCTGCGTTTTGGTCACTCTTAATGGGTCGAGGTAGAAGCTGGGCCTAAGCTCACAAGTACGTAGTGATGCAGCTAGCTTGCATTGCACAGTCAGAGCATTTATGCTTTGTCGGCTGGCACGTGTGTTGCTCGGCAGTCCTCGGCCTCAGGATCCACCTGCCGGAGTTTGCTGCCGCGCCCCACCAGGCAAAGAAACTCGTGGGCCTGAGTCCTTCTCGTCTTAGCTCGTAAATCTGATGTGGGAGTTTCCGAAAATACGGGACCCTAATGTAGTACCCTAAATGGTAGGATCCTTTTTATAAGGACCCCAAAATAAGGTACCCTAATTTTCGGAAACTCCCATGTCAGTTTCTTCGTGTCCGCTTGAGTCACACGTGAAGTCCCAAGACTATGGCCCGAAACCCTAACGCTGTCAGCCCAAATAACCCTAAACCCAGCACCAGCGAATGCCAGAGCTCCAAAGCCCAAATTACTTTAAGCCCCTGTAGACACCGTAAAAACCCAAATGACCCTAAACGAAGAAAGGTGGAGGAGTGGCTTCTGCAGCGAGGGTTCGCCAACCTAAATCAGCGACCACCGCGGCCGGCCTCCACGTCCTGGGGTTCCATCTCCTCAGGACAGCGTTTGGCAATGTGGAGATCCAGAATCCAGAAGGATGTTTCAGGATTTGGGGTTGAAGGGCTCAGCCTGTTGGAATTTAGGCGTTTGGGGTCTGAGGTCTGTTCCAGAGTCGGTAGTGAGCTCCGCAAGACAATTCTGACAGGAGCAGCCAGTGACACACTCCGTCAGGTCCTCAGAAAAACTTGAAGGTAACACCGCAGTTCTGCGTTCCTCGCTGACCGAGGCTACGGCGGCTATGCCTGAGGCTTCTTGCAGCATCTGTGGACACCCATCCAAGTCGGCCTCCGCCCGCAGTCCCTTTGAAACTGCGGGGCAGAGCACAGGGAGCGGTGACCTCGTGTACAGCTTTGACGAGATGTGTAGGCAAGAGAAGGCTCTAGTAAGTGTCTCTATGGCTATGGTACAAAGCAGAAGCCTGTCTGATGAACATCCTCTGCTGTTACCACTACACTCCTCGTCTCTCATCGAAGAGAACGTCTAGCAGGCTGCACATGGATGTGGTCGTTCCCGTGTCCACGTGGAGCTGTTTCAGTTTTGTTAGTGACCATGTGACTGATCCATCAGTCCCCTTCGAACTTGCGGGCAAGTTTCTGTCGGCCTTAGCTGCTGTTTCAGCACGGGTTCTTTGAGCCCAAACGCCTCCTTTTTCAGCGCTTCGCAGTCAAAAGCCTCCTTGGCACTCGCATGTGCTGTGGACAGTTCCGGATCGTGATAAACACTGGGATGGTATTGAGTGTCTTGGGCCACGCAATGCCACACGCAAGAGGAACCGGGACCTGAGGAGAATCTACCGAAGAACTTCCAGGAGCGGTTGGTCCCAACCGACCAGAGGAAGGCATATGTGGAAGGATTGCCACGCCCAGGGGGCTGGAAAAGATATTCTTCAGCTAACAGCCGACCAGATCAAGAGGATTGCATGTCCTAGTTGCAATTACTTCTCGCCACCACGGTTGTCATCGCACATCACGTCATGTAAGTCTGCGGCAAAGCTGTGGAACCCGCCGGTCCTGCTGTGCCCTCAAGGCAAAGGGTCCAGGAGGCACTAAAACATCATCAAGGCTCCTCTCGGCTGAGCTTTAGCTACCTTGCAAGAGATACACGTAGCCCTGGCGGAGCACTGTTTTTTTCTGGCTTCTCGCAGACGGTAAGCCCATGACCCACAGCCTTCCATGACATTCCAACCAGCAATCCGGATGCCGATGGTTGTGTGCAGCATGTTGAAGACTGGCATGACAATTGTTTTGCAATCGGAAGTCAGATTTGTTTATTTCTTCTTGGGCAGAAGCTTCTTCTGGTTCAAAGCGGGAGCGGTGTACCACACTGACATCGGCAACGGCTGCGTGCAGAGCATCCACATTCTGAGCAAAAACATGTGAAGCTGAGGTTCGTCAACCCACGCGATGCCGTTCTGAACAACTTCATATGCGAATGTCTCGCACATATAAGAAGAACGCGCGTACTGATAGTTGCCAAATGTTGCCTTGCCTACCTTTTCAAGTGCTTATGTGTCGAACCCCCTCGGAGCCATGGGCGGCCTGTGCACATGTCTTGAACGTCAAGGCGTGAAGCCAGTGATCGGTTTATACGTATATACATGTATTATTAGTATATATATATATATACATATGATAACTTGTTGATGGTTCTACTCCTCTGGATGTCTGTTGCGACGCACAGAGTTTGAACTGACGGTGCGTGTTGGTCCCAGGTCAAGCTGCTTTCATGAGGCAAGGGTGACTCCCTGATGACGAGTGCGTGGAGTGATTGGGTCACCTGCACCGAAAATAAGGTTGGCGAATCAGGTGGGGAGCTAGCTTACGTGCCACCTAATGCGCAGTGCCGGTTGCGAGGCTGCCAATGAGCTGGGCCTGACGCCTCACAGGCTTGCTGTCGGGCTGCTGTCTTGAAGTGCAAGCTGGGCGGTGCATGTTTGCTGGAAGAATCCTGTCGGGTCAGGATGATTTGATCTGGCAGGCAGAGCCGCGGCCCCAGTCGCGCTTGGACGGTCCAAGCTTTCGAGGGTTCTTCGTTCAAGGCGCATCTAGTGTGAACAGCCTTCACTTGTATGGGATCGTAAAGTTGTAGTGGCACGTAGCCACAGGAGCGACATCTCGAGCACGGCTCACAGACACGTTGGGATCAAGTCTACCCGTCACGCTTTTGGGCCCCCGAAAAAGGCAAGATTGTATTGCGTTGGACGTTGGATAAGCCGCTCTCAGATCGCAACTGCACAGTTGAACCCAGACTTCCAACGAAGTTCAGAAGTCGTCCTGAAAACATAAAAAATGCCTGTGGCGGCTTCGATGCAGAGTTGCTGGCCTGGGAAGCCCCACGCCTGTGTCGTGTTTCCATTGCCTATGTCCCATCTAGGCCCTAAAGGGCCCTATAGGCCCTAAACCCTCGCTCAACCAATGTTGCCCGGCACCAGAGCTCATGTGGTTCGGGATCCCTTGATCCTGCAGGTTAACTGCCAAGGGCCAACCTGCGCTTTCCCGCGAAAGGCCCGAGAGCGCCATCACGAAAAAATGATGCAGCTCGATCGGAATGTGCTCCAACATGCAGTCTTTCAGAAAGCCGGGCTTTCGAGTACTTGCTATGCTGCATTCTGGAGAGGCCATGATGGTTCCTGTCTGTCTCTGCAGTAGAATGCTCTGCGAACATGGTAAGTAAGGACCACATGCTAACTCTCGCCACCTGCCCGTCCCAAACCCCCGTTTGAAAGCCTTGACCGAAAGCTGCTCGCGAGCACAACCTGCGCACTGGGTATCTCGGAGCCCCGAATTTTTTTGCTTCACATGACAGGTGAGACATCTCTTTGTTTGCCTCATCTTGGATGGTTCCTTGAAATCACATGCGTCTTCAGTGCTGAGATGGTAGCACAGCATGGGCAGTTATGGACAGGTGCACGCATAGAACCCCAGCATCTCTCACCAGCTCGTCGCAAGAGTGTTGCGGCCGTGGCCTGAGACCGACTCTGCACAGTCTGTAGTTGGATCTGGCTGGATCATCCTTGAAGTCCATGTCTCGAGGCACGTTTGGCCCACAGCTTTGCTAGAGGTGCCACTGCGGCTGCGCTTTGTTGACAATGCTGGCAGAGCGCATCGCAGGCATGATGGACAACTTGAGGGATGAGATGGTTTCCATGGTGCGAGATCAAGAACAAAGTGGTTGTTTGATCACCGAGCTGCAACACCAGCTCAAGACGCAAACAATGAAAGTGCAAGACTTGGAGAAGGAAATTGAGGAGCTCAAAGGGCTTCTTGCTTCCTTGAACGCTCCACACACTCCGGACAGTCAAGAGACACGAACCCCGCCATGCCAAGAATCGCAAGACCATTCCGAATCTGAACACAGTGAGGCAGCAGAGCCTCGTCCTTCCTACATCGCGAAGCTCCTTTTGCAGCAGGTTTTCTTTCGAGTAGCGAAGTCTGACAAGGGTGAGGAGTCCAAGGAAGGCAAAGAACAGGTAAAACATCAGATGAATGAAAGCACAGTCAAGGGCCACGACGTTACCCAATGGAGGTGCGTGTGGCGACAGGGCATGGATGTGAGACACGGCCCCTTTGTGGCACGCAATCGAATCGTTGGATTCTTGAAGTGTGGCCAGGTTTTCACGGTGTCCCAAAAGAAGCCAGGCCAGGAGGGCACAGTTTTCCTGAAGTTGGCCGATGGAGATGGATGGGTCTTTACCCAGAGCCGTGCAGGCACGTTCTGCGTACCGGCCGGCGATGAATGGCAGAGTTGGCGAAGTGAAGACCGCGCTTGGAAGGGTCAGGGCCATGGCTCCTGGAGCCGAGAATCTTGGCAAGAACATGAACGCCCGAAGACCAACTGGTCAAGCTCTTGGATCTCCCAAAGCACGCCCTCCAGCTCCTGGACGAAGGATGATTGGGGACAGGGCCACCGCGATGAGGAGGAGCACGACAAGTACACTAAGAGCTGGGGCAACAGATCTTGGAATCAGCCCAGGAAGTGGCCAAGTTCCTCATGAAAGGACCTCTCCAATGGCAAGGTTGCCCTCGCAGCTCCGCAAGACAGCGACGTTTTATGGCTTTATCGATTGAGGCAAGTGCCAATGCGCCTTGCTGACCCGAATTCAAGAGATGTGGAAACCGCTGCAAAAGGAAGAGTAGCCAACATCAGCTTTGCAATCACCACCAAGATTCAAAAGTGCCAATGGTTGGATGTTAGAAATCCTGGCGTGTTTGCGACGTGTTTCTGCGAGGCCCTCGGCTTGCTGATGCGTCACATCCATCAGGCCCTGTTTGAAAATGCTTGCCCACAAGTTTCCATGTCTCCTGTGTGCTGGACAGCAAGAGGTGGTTCTCGACCTTGCAGAGCAAAGAGGAGCCACGAACAGGGTCACGCCTTTTTGTTGTCTTGCCCAAGTAAAAGCTTTGGCACCACGCAGGATGGATGCCAACCATGAAGCTGATGTAGAAGTTACAGGTGGCCCGAGGCTCAGTTGAGCTACCTGCGGGGATTGTATAATCAAGCCACCTCTGACGGCTCCTGAGTGTCCAAGATGTCGCATGCGTAAGCTGCTAGTGAGTGGAGAATCACAATTCCGGATCCCACCGATTACTTTGAGTCTGCTTCTTCAGCATGGCGGCTTCGTGATGCTGCCTTAGTCGCCTTTGTCGGGGCTCAGCTTGACGCTCTTCGTTTCAACGCGCCGCTCGGGCTCAGCCGGAGTTCCAATTTGTGCAGAGATTCGTATTGAGTTCGATGGGTCCCGGTCCCTTCGTGATCTTCCTGTCGCTACTAACTTCTGCCTGCAGTGGCTGCCGCTGTTGGCGCCGCCTGCTGCCGAGGCCAACTAGCAGTCACCAGGGCGCTGGGCGACAATTCACTGAAATCCTTCGGCCGGGTGCCCAGATGTTGATGTGGCAATAGAAAGTCATAGAAATAGCACCTCGTGAGTCGAATTTGATATTCAAGAAGTAACTGCGAATCCGAGTGTCGTCCCGGCTGAGCATCCGGGCCCGTGCTTTCCTTGTCCCACTGGCTCCTCTCGTTTGCTTTCCTTGAGGCAGGAACTTGGCAGTGCGGCTGCACGGGCACCGTGGCGCTCGGCTCGGATGTGACAGCACGACGGTACTCCAGTTGATTCCTGCGTCTCACAGTGATTTTGGCGTTCGGTGCGAGGTGCTGGCACACCGGATGGCCTTGAGGCTGCGTCTCCGCGTGGGGGGTCTCAGAGACTTCCTGAAAGCCGCCGCCTGTGAAGCCTTGTCCGGAGTCGTCATCGTCGTCCTCCTCATCATCCTCCTTATCATCATCAGCCTCATCATCAGAATCATCATCAGCATCAACATCATCGGCATCCTCCTCCTCCTCATCCTCATTCTCCATCCTCCTCTTGCTCCTCATCATAGCGGCAGCGGGAGGATGCAACTGATCCAAGCTTGCTACCGAGGCCAGGGACGTCGGCTTGCGGAGCAAAGGCAGTCGCCGCAGTTGCCAACGCGACACCAACCGCTTTGGAAAGTGTTGGCTTCGCAGTGGTCGGGGGGAGGCGAATGCCGAAATTGGGCGTTTGCTGCACCGTGCTAGCCTTGGCTTAGAGGAGGCCGCTGCTATGCGCAAAGGGCATCCATCGCTTTGGGGGAGACCTTGCTGCACATGGTGGATGCCAGCACGCCTCCCATTTCACCTGTGCCCGGATCAAACGTCGGGTCAAATCTGGGCTCAGATGCGGACGATGCAGGCTCAGACGAATCCGAAGCTTCACCAATCTCGCCGAGAAAGGAAGTCTTGGAGCTTTCCAATGTGCGCGTTGAGGCTTGGCTAGCTAGAGAAGCGAGAGCACTCGGGGAACCGGGCGAAGACGCCAGCGCTCAGGGTGGGCATTTCACCTTTGGTGCAGAGGAGGCGAGAGCTCTCAGAGGTGCAGTCAGTGCAGACACTTAAGAGCAAGAGCATGAGTAGAGCTATCGAGAACAGGCGAGAAAGTGCAGACGGTGACGATGAAATCGAGAAGCTGCGGGTAGACTCACGCAACACAAGCATCAGGAAGCTTGCTGAGGAGCAAGATAGGAAGCTGGAGCTTGTTCAGCTGACCCCATCCTTTGTTCTAGGCAAGTGTTCCAAATGTGGGCAGCAAGTTGGGATCCTCCTGCCAAGCAGAGCTCTTAGCGAGACTATGTCTTAGTCGGTGAAGGCTCTTTTTGGCATTTCGAAGCTTCGAAGATGTTTGGGCTTCGCCCTACCACCTCTTCATGGCCCAGCATTTTCTGGACCGACGGTGCCGTGAGCTGGCTCGAATGGCCAAAGCGGCTGCAGCCAATCTGCGGTCTCTGATCTCACAGGACCCACTGCGAAATGCAGTTCGGGATGATTGGCATCTCGGTTCACAATACTCGTGGTGAACGGCAGCGTTCGGTGTGTCGGGTTTTTCGCCGATGGTCACGTCTCAAATCCCGTCAGGTCTTGGGCGCCAGGGTGTTCGTCCTCTTGCCTTGCCCCTCAATGCCGACAGGAAAACACGGATGAGCTTCGAGTTCCCCGATGTCTTGGCGTTTGCAAGCATCCGTGGCAGGCCGTGCGTGAACCCCCGATGCCTGCGGATACATGATAGGACGACTCATGCAACGGCTGCTCCGCTCGCTTCGGAACGAAAATAGTGGCTGCTACCTTCATAGGCAACACGAGGCATGATATGATGAACGACTTCAGAGGATGGCAACCCAAAGCCCAAGCAGAGCACGGGTGTGTTACCTGCACCAACTCGCAACACGGGTTTTGGCTCCCAAACGCAAGGTATGGCTAAGAGGATGACGTCTAAAATGGCTCGGGCACCGTATCAGGTGCTTCTGAACAGCGAGCAATCTGTTTCGGCCCGCCGGTTTATGTCGCCCCACTTCCCATACGTTTCCTGTCTACCGAGCCGTTTGGCTATTTCGGTCCGCCGGTGTAAGTCAAAAGGACCAAGCATTAATCAGCATTGTAGCTAGCATGCAAGGGCCCAGAATCGGCTCAGCATTCTCATATATACTTCTGTGGAATCCTGGCAAAAGAATCTTGTACGTCTCCCTTCTCTTTTAATTGAGGGCGCAGAAGCAACTTTAAGTTTCATTTTGGGAGTTGTTTGTGTTTTTTTTTGCGTTTTCTGCCTGGGAATTGTTGCGACTTGAGATTCTGTCCATCCATTGGTTGGCTCGAAGCGCTTCGGTGTTCTCGAACTGAACGGCCACCCGAACTCAGCCAGCGTATGCTTCATATTCTTCTGAAGTGGAATTTCAGGCTATATAAGTATCAAGTCCAGCTTGCACATGAAAAGCTAAAGCTCACAACGTCCGACCACTGTGCCTTCGTCGTGTTAGGATCACAGAACGGCCAGTAGGCATGTGGCAAGCCTTTTGGGCGGCCGAGCCCCCTCCTGCGCTTTCAGGGGTTCCTGACAGGAACTCCCGGCAGGCTGCTGAAGATGCCGTGCAGGCCTGTAGGAGGAACCCATGTTTCGCGGCGCTGGCTCCTCCCAGTGCTGTGAGGCTTTGCACGATGATGTGACGTCGCTCTTGGAACAGGTGAGAGCAGCAACAGCGCAACTAAAGCTTGACTGTTTTCGGAAGCAGCCCTGGCAGGAGCTTGCTAAGTTCCGGGCCAACCTCCTACTGGACTTGCGTGAAGAGTTGGCTGATCTTCGAGGCCAGCACGTGTGTTCCCAGAAGTCGGCAAGCACTGCGCGCGCTTCCCGTTGCGTTTCTGGAGGAGAATGGTAGGTTTGACATAATTACCTCACAGCACTTGCGACAAGTCTGGGGTTTGTTGATCGAGGTGCAATGAAACCGGACAGATTCTACGAGAAGGCCGGCCCGGCAAAATTCGAGCTACCTGAGAAGTTGGCAGCTTGCGGCCCAGGCACGTAGAGACACTGCCAGGCCAGCTCGGCCGCACGCTTGCATTTGTGACGAGTTAAGTGCCTGAAGTGGATGGAATACGAGGACCCTGATAGATTCTACTGCACACAACATGGTGGCAGTTCTGGTGCGCTACTGTACTTGACTTGCAGTGCGGGGGCCGGTGGTGATGTAGCCTTGCAAGTCTTCCTGCTGTATTGAGCATATCTATCCCACTGGAGATCGATCTCTTCTCAACTTCACTCGAGAACGACTGCTGAGCTTGCGAGCACATGCTGTGGCCGCAGGTGTGGGAGGCCTCGGGGCCTCCAGGTTATTTGGGTTGCAGGTTGGGCCACAGCATGCAAACCAGATCTGCACGTTTTAGGACGTTTGCCTGATAGATAGCCTGTTGCCTGAAATCGTCCCACATGGGTTCGTGCCTGCGCGAATAGCCTGCTGTACAGGGGAACGAGGGAGGTTTTCACCTCGGTGACCGGTCGGTGGATGAACTGGTCTGCGTTACAGCCGCAGCCCAAAAACAACAGCCATTTTTCTGCAACTGGAAGGAACATGCAGACCCTGAAGCTCTAGATTCTAGATTGCTAAAATCGTGTCCATGGGAGGCTGAATGCTAGACATTGAGACGGTACCTGCAACAGGTTCGCGAAAGAACCAGAATCTCCAGCTCCCCCGCATACATTGCATGATAAAACCTCTGCACGGCAGATGAATGACAGATGAATCGGAAGAAGCTTTTGCGGGCTCTGCTGTGTGCATACACAGTGTGCCTTGTTCATTGCTCTTGCCTTGCTTGTGTTCGCATGCTGACAGCTGATCGAGCAATGCTTTGTCAATGTATTTAAATGCAGTTGCATGCCCCTTGGTTCAGGTGAAGTCGATAAGGATCGGGGCAAGTAGGAATTTAGGAAGGCAATCAAGGGCCACTTCCTCCCGCTACACAACAATGCCTCGCTGGCAGATTAAAGCGGCGAAAGCAGCCGAAGCTGGACGTTCTGCTCCTTAGCCGCAGTCTAAGGTTTCGGGTGGCCCATTGGAATCCCTGGACCACTGAAGGCTGCCGAAATCCGCGAGTTTGGCCTCATCTCCTCCGGCCTCGACAATGCCGAGGCTTCGCTTCAGAAGTTCGGCACGATGAGAGGTTTCTGTGATACTTCGATCTTCACAACACTGTGGAGAAGTCTTTCTGGGAAAACTGCTGAAGACTAAAGGGCCATGTAATATCAACACCTTTGCGGCTTCCTACTTCCAGCCCGTTTCCGCCATCTTGTAAGCCAGAAGGAAGCCGTACTCCCGGGAGTGGACCATAGAGTGGGTCTTGTGAGAGTGCAGTTGCTAGACACCTTGCAATACTGCATAGTCCAACCCAACAGTTAAGGACATGTTGAGGAGGCGCTGTAGTAAACAGCACAGGCAACTGAAACCCTTGTGAACATTGTTTCTTGCCAGAAACTTGTTGGTTTTAATCGCGACACATGCGCTCAGTCGTTGCGCAGGAAGAAGTGATTGAGCTTGCTTGAGGAGCCCATTGTGCAAGTCGTTTGCGTTCACTGTTTTTGCGAACGGACTGCGATGCCTTGTCAAGTTCTAAGGTGTCACTATAAGAGCTGTGAGCAAGACCGTGTAAAGTGCAAGAGAAGGGGGCACGCTACGCGTCCCTCGACTCTAAGGGGGCACGCTACGCGTCCCTCATCTTTACCTTTCTATGTGACCGCCCACGCAACGTTTGGCTCAAGTCAATGCCCATAGCTAAGTGCTATATGTGTCTTCTATCCTGAGCAATCAGAGCTATCCCGTTGCACAGACGAACCGCCGCCGGCAGTGAGTGCAAAAGGAACGGCCGCCGGTTCTGCCTGCATAGGATTGCACGTGTGGAAGTGTAAGAGAGACAGGGTCCAGTCTGTGGAGAGTGCAAGCCAGCCACACCTACATTCATTACAGCTCTGGTGGGGAGAGCAGCAACCTAGTCGAGATCAATCCCCCACGCAGGTTATCAGCCGTACGCGGCTCTGCCTTTCTACAGCAACGACTACTTGATCTACTACGACCACAATGAACTCGGGATCAAGCCAAGATACGACAATGACTTTCGGTGCCGATGTGGCAGCGCCAGCCGTTGGTGAGTCAACAGCTGATGACACAGTGGTGCAATCCGTTGATAGCTCCACGGAAGATGACAAAGGTCAATCTTCTGCGCTTGCCATTGCAAAGGCAGTTCCCAAGGTGAAAGCAAAGAGTCTACCAAGAGCATCTACGCCTTCGCGTCCGACATCCACAGGTTCGAGGACGGGCAAGGCTCCCGAACGACGAGCCGAAGCGTCTGGTTTTCAGGCACCTCGGACTACGTCCAGGGCCAAGGACAAAGGAGTGAAGACCTTGGAAAAGAAGTCAAGACCATCATCTTCGAGAAGCTCTTCAGCACGATCAAGGACTTCGGTTACTCGTGGGCGTGACAAGTCCATGACTTGGAATCGGATGGTTACCAACCAACCACGCGATGCTGACGATCTGGATATGACTCTGGACACTATCCCAGCACGTGGTGATGCGTCATCGGTGGCCACTCCAGCCATAGCCGATGGTCCGAATGCCTATCAGGAACTGACGATTTCGCAACAGCTCGAAGCGTCGAACCTTGCGCAGCAGATGTACTATCGCAGTCAGATGCAAGAGTACGAAGGAGTTGTTCAGACCCTGATGGACAAGATCAAGGAGATGCAACAAGAAGATGAGGGATCTGGAATTCGCATTGAAGAATTGGAACGACAACGTGACCATGCATGCTTAGCCATGAGGCACATCAACAATGTCAATCAGGAGATGAAGCGAGACTATGAAACAGCTTTGTTTCGCATGGATGAACAGAACTCTGCTCAACAACGTCAAGCACATGCCGTTGCCGAGGAGTTAGCTCAACAGCTACACGTGTTCCGCACGGAGGCAGCCACTAACTTTGTGCAGTTGGAGGCAAGAGCGCAAGGCGATGGTGAGCTTATGGCACGTGAGTATGAGCGTCTGACTCATGAACTTCATGAACATGCCAGAGAGAACTTGGTCCTCCGGTCAAACACAGCAAGTTCGGAACAAGCCTTACAAGCAATGCAGGAACGATTCCACTTGGTCAAGAACCAGGAGTTGCGGGCCGTGAACGAGATCCAAGGGCTAGCTGGAAACAGCGCAGCCATTGATCAAGAACGACTTCGGCTTCGCGAACGTCTTGGTGAAGAGGAAGAGTACCGCAAAATGGCTGTGAGGAGGATGCAAGATGCAGAGGACCGACTTCATCAGAATGAAGATCATGCAAGGCGAGCATTGCCTACCTTGCACGACGAGCTGAGTGAACTCAGGAAAACGCTCAAAGCACAAGAAGATCTTCAAGCGAGGACACGCAGCGAATTGGAGGCAGCGCGGAACTCCAACTATGGAGGAGCGACACGGCCTTCAAGCATGCCCATGTCTTCGAGGACTACTGAGTCTGGCTGGGAGCACGTAGGAAAGGAAGTAGTGCCTGCATTTTCCGTAGGAGGTGAGGTACGATCCCCTGAAATACGGTCCCCAAGTCAAGTTAGTCCAGTCGCCAAAGAGAAGTTCGCATTCTCGGAATCGGACAAGGACAAGAACCTTGTGATGGATGGAATTCCATTCACCGGTGGAAACTTCTTCACTGGCCGCAATTCAATGCCAATCGTGGCGGATGCAATGCCCGAGCACTACGTGCCAGGTGTTAGCAGCCCAGCACTTGCGCGTTCCACGCCTAGTGCAGCCACTTTGTTTGGCATACCAAGCGGATTTCATGGGAAAAGTGATGCGGCAGCCGTGCGTGATCGACAGCTACGCGAACTCTTGGAGGATCGCGGGATGTTGGGATCGAAGTCCACAGCATCTGCCAGCTCCTCAAGACCTGTTGGTGTCGACGGCATCACCGCATCTACGAAAGGCAACGACCTCATAGGTCCCCCTATTGCCTATGACGATTCCATTCATGAAGCAAGGAGACGTCAGATCGAGAAAGAGGTCGCGGAACGGTACGAGGAGAAGATTGCCGATCTGCGAAGCGAAGTACTCAAGGCCCAGAAAGCCGAACAACGTCTCAGAGCTGATCGTGATGAGTGGAGATTATTCGCTGAAACGATTCAGGAGGATAATGGAGACGATGACGGTGACGAAGCTGGCGACGAGAATGAAGATGGAGAGCATGATGAAGGAACCGGCACGGGGTATGATCCTCCAGACCCGCCTGATGATGATGATGATAAGAAGAGAAGCGGTGGAGGCAAACCTGAATCGGATCCTGGCTCTCATGCGCGTGATCCTGATGGAGACGCAGATCCTGAAGTCACTGAGGTGAGAATTTCCAGGAGGGAGGCCGATAAAGTGACCGTTCCTCCATGGCCTACTCTCACTCACCTCAACAACTGGCGATCCGTATGCACGGCGAATGTCTTAGGAGCATCAGCCGATCCAAATCATGAGGACTGGATGTTATGGCTGGCACCAGCATTCAACCCATTCCCTGATGTCGAAGCACTGAACGATTCAGGACACAAGAAGTTCAAGAGCGTAGACGTCAAATTGGGGATCGCAATGGTCGCAATGCTACGTGCTGGTGGTGACAAATCTGCTGACCTGTACCTGGAGGTGAACCGGAAGGCCAACGATTACATCAGCAGGCCCGAAGGGAAGATCATCAAAGGACGACAAATCATTGCGATGATGTATGAAAGCTTTCGAACGCATGATCGTCTCGACATGATCATCACTCTCGAGTATCTGGTGAAGCTCCAGTACCAAGGCGACAACAAGCTTCATACGTTCAAGCAGACGTGGTTGGAAGTTCTGGGACGGATGAGGCCAGAAGACATACCATCCAAAACAGCTCTCCGTGATTGCTTGTACAGCAAGATCAAGGACTCGCCCGCAATGAAGATGGAGTTGGGCATGCACTACGAACACTTGCCCTACAATCATGAAGACCGATCGTACGACAATTTGATGAAGATCATTGACCGTACCATCATGCGGAGACGAGAACAATCAAATCTCACTCAGACCCAAATTGGCTTGCGCCAGATGCTTGAGGGCAAGGATTTGCTTGCTGCACCGGCCAAGGTACCTGAGAAACCAACGCCTAACGCAGCTCCATCCGCAAAGGTCAAGGCTTCGCCGACCAAGCCGGATAAAGCAACACCTGTACTACCTCAAAGCAAAGCGAAGAGTCATGCGAAGACCAAGCCAAAACCAAAGAAGAAGACGAGGAGTGAGTCAGCGGACAACAGAGGTGACAAGAGCAAGAAGCAAATCCGCTGCAAGTTCCATTTCACAGATGCAGGGTGTCGAAATGGTGACAAGTGCCCATTCAGTCACTCGAAGAAGACTCCAGAGCGACCCTTTACGCCGAGGACGAGAACTCCAAGTCCATCTGGAGGAGGAGGAAACAGGATATGCTACTCGTTCAAGAACACAGGCTCGTGCTCAAGAGAGAATTGTCCTTTCAAGCATGAGGCAGCAGCTACCCCAGCTCCGGAACCAAAGGCAAAAGCTAAAGCCAAATCCGAAGCAAAGGCAGCTCCAGCGAAGCCGAATGCCAAGGCCAAGGCGCTCCCTGCGGCACCCGCCATCAGATTGTGCCGAAGGTGGAATCCATCAGCCCCGGCGATATGGAAGCGATCTTCAAGACAAGATGAGGAGGAGTCAGATTGTCCATCCGTTGACAGCGACGCTGATTCGGATTGTTCAACAGACGACGAATCCTCGGGACCGACCACGTCGACCCGAAAAGGGATCAAGCGTAATGTGACATTCGCCGATGACGTGAAGTTCATTTCTTCGTGTCCTAGAAGATCGAAGAAGGACAAAGAGCGGAAGGTGAAGTACGTCGACATGGAAGCGCTTGTCAACGATGAGGATCGCGCCGTGAATTTGGAATTCGCCAAGCACAAAGCGAGATTGAGGGCACAGATCATGAGAGACATGGTTGACGACGATGATGATCAATGTGGAGATCGAGTTTCATTCGTGCGAATCCCAGGAACGTCTCGGGTGGAAGAAGTCTCCTTCTACGACGGTGAGGATTCCATCGTTGAGCGTGAACTCGATGCTGCACACAGCAA